ACCTCCAGGGCCCAAGGGAGACTGCGGTTTGCCGGTAAGACTGGGAGGGTGTGCATGTTGTTCGGAGCTCAAGTGGGTGGCAGGGGGCGGTTAGGGCGAGTGGCTACTCCCGGCAAGGGCTGACCAGGAGAAGCAACGTCGAGCCGGGAGGTGGTCATCGGCAGACTCTCAACTCGAACGCGAGTCCCCTGCTCGTCTACCTCTGCTGTGCTCGTGATTACACATCCTGCTGTGATTCATGATCCTCCGGGGCAGACTTGGGTTTGGTGGCCACCACCAGGTAAAGAGCCCCCCTGGGCTTTGCTTGGCTCAGGCCCCAGGTCATTCTTTGCTAACCCAGCTGTCAAGGTCAAGTGGCTTAAGGAAAACCACTAACCGACTAGCCCCCAGGTCACACGCTCTCCGAAGTTCAGCTGTCCCGACTCCTAGAGCAGAGCTCCTCCAGCCCACCAGCTTGTCTGGGCGTTTTGGACAAAGGTCGCACATGGGTAGTCCTGAACGTGTTTTGTTTGGCACGTGCGGCATTGTTTAAAAATATTTAACGAGTTAACTAACATTTTAAAAATGTGAGAGATTTCTTATAAAAGACCTGACGACTGGCTTCTCCTGGAACGGGGAGAGACGCAGTGGCCCATGGGCTGTGGCTCCGTGAGAGCTGCCCCTTTCGACAGGACAGGCCTGCTCCTGTGTGCCCCCGTCCCCACGTCTCCCGATCAGGTCTTCCAACCCAGTCCTTTCCCCTGTTTCTTTCACCTGCCTGGATCCTATAGATGCTGGATTTGTGGCCCCTGTAGGCGAGTTTGGGGTGGGGAGGGGGAGGGTGGGCCTGAACAGTCAAGGAAAGGAGAAAGAACATTCCACGTGCAGGAGATGTTCTCAGGGCCGATGCCTGCAGCATGCCTGGGACTGTCTCCAGGGGCAACGACCTTTCTGCAGCTGGAGGCCAATTCCTCTGGGCGGGGAATGGTGGGATGGAGTTTCCAGAAGGTTCAGGCCTCAGCTCTGTTCTCCTGCCTTGGAGATGACCACTGTGTGGTTTCCTCCTTCCTAAGGCTGGGTTTCCCACCAGGCTCTAGTGTTTGAGGTTAGGCTCCCTACAATGTGGAGACAGTGGCAGATGCTGGGAATTCCCAGGCCTTACAAACACACTTAATGAGTTTTAATAATGATTAGGAATAATATTTATTCAGCCTGTCTCCAAGGGGACTGAGAGCGCGATTTTATTATAACCATATTGTAGAACTTATGGAAATTGTATGCATTGCTTTGCAATTATGTCAACGCTCTGCTTAAGTCCTGTGCTCTGAAATTGTCAGGGCAGGAAGTTGGGAGCCAAGAAAAGAAGGGGGGACCCCTTTTCAGCCCTTCAGGCTGCTCAGCCTGACTCAGGCACCAGGTGCCTTTGAGGCCTGATAGTTCAGCTTCCCAAGCTGTGGGGGTGCTCGGTTCACTGGCCACGAGGTCAAACGGGGGTGAATTGTCCCCCTCTGAGAGAGGGTGTGAGGCTCAGGGTCTCCACTCCATCCAGTGGAGAAGGCCAACCCTGTCTCCAAGGCCATGTGTGGTGTAGAGAAAGGACAGCCATGTCCAAGCCTACACTGGAGCAGGGAATAGTTTTTTAGGGTGCAGAATCTGCCTTTGGGCCTGTCAGATGCCCAGGCTGCATACATTCCCCCGGGGTTTGGTGATGTGGATCGGCAGGGGTGAGGCCTCACTCCAGATATCCTGGAACTTCCCCGCGATCAAAGAATGTGTGTCCTGAGTGTCCACACTGAGACTCTAAGGCTTAGGGCCAGGAGGCTGGGGGGCTTCAAAGATATGTCAGGCCCTGTCCTTGGCCTCAAAGGAAGATCTCACTGTCTGAACAAATCTTCTGTTTCTACACCCACCAAATGTGTGAGTTACGTGAGTGGCATCTTCCTTTAGGACATCCTAGGAACTGGTTCAGGAGGGCGGCACGTGTATGCGAATCCCTGCTCGCCTCCTGCCGCGCCCTATCCCTGAATCCCACCCTTCCTCCGCTTGGAACCTAGCCTCACCCCAATAGGAGCCACGAAGCTTCGAGAAGCTTTGTCCAGCCCCCTGTGCGGCAGGTGGCAAACCGGTCATTTATATGTCACCGGATACCAGCATTATATAACTGAAGGGGCATCTTTGCGCAGCAGTGGTAACAACTTCTTTTCCTGTCCTCTCTTGTCTGCCTCCAACCCCCATATACATTCAGAAGCCGTGCTGCCCTGGGCAGGGGGCTTAATTGTCCCCATACTGGGGACATGCAGACCTGGGTTCAAATTCTGACTCCGCCCCTTACTAGCTCTGATCCACACTAAGTCTTGATTTCTGCAGAACGTAGGTTAAGAATAGCTCCCATCTCCTGTGAGGAAGCAAGTTGGGTGATCTCCAAGGCCCCTTGGAGATCTGTTTTTGCTGGGTGACTTTGGGGGAACTTCTCTCCTCTCCCTAGGGCTGTCTCCCCTCCATGACAGCTTCGGAAGAGCTCCCTTCTTAGAAATAAGTGGCCGTGGGAACTTCAAGGGCCAGAGAGGGGTGGCCGGGTCTGCCTGGTTCTGCGTGGTTCTGGAGGGGCATGAGCCACACTGGTGGAGGCGGAGACTGCTCTGGGCCCCGGGCCTGCCAGCAGTTGTAGCCACTGAGTGAGGGAGCTCTGTGGGAGCCCCAGCAGCGGGGGGAGCATGGAAAAGCTGAGCTGGGCTCCGGGTGAGTAGGGGCGGGGAGGCTGCGGTTCACAGAGACTGCACAGAAGCTGCACAGAAGCCCCACGCCTGGGAGGAGGCGAGTCAAGGCCTTATTTATTCATGATCAGGCCGCTGGCATTTGCACTGGCTTGCACTTTTTTGCAAGCGTCACCTCAGGGAGACCCGGATGAGGGCCTGGCCCGCAGCAGATGCTCCATGACTATCTGTAAAATGAAGGGATGTGATCTTTATGGGAAAAAAAGGTTGTCCCGACTCCCAGGCCGGGCTCCTTGAATTACACAGATCTCGGCTGCTGGTGGGTCAGGAGGCCACATGGAGGAAGGCACAGAGCACAGACTTTGGATCTGGAGCGACCTGGGTTTCAACGACTGCCTTACCCAGCTATCCTTTCCTTCTTTCAACAAATGTTGATTGAGTGCCTCCTAGGTGCCAGCTGCTGTGTGATCTTCGGCAAGTCACTTAACCTCTCTGAGCCTCAGTTTCTGCCTCTGCAAAATGGGGACATGGTGCTACCTACCTTTCCAGAGTTGTTGTGTGGATTGAGATAAGGGATGTAAAGGCACCCAGCACCTAGCACCCGGTCCCAGCGGGTTGTCGTGGCTGTTTACTGACGTGCTGATGGTTGAGATGGGGGCATCGCTGCACCAAGGGAACCAGGGACGTCTGGACCCAGGAGGGCCTTCATACTGTTGGTGGTTAGAAATTGGGGCTAGATCTTGAGAAATTCACCCATTCCCCTAGTATCACGTAGAGCCCAGGAGAATGAGGGGTGTCTCGCTTTCTCTTTGGCATTTTGCTCTTGAGCTCCTACTCTGCGCCAGGCTCTGTGCTAAGCAGTGCGCATGCCGTGTCCTGCAGCTCCAGGTGGGGAGCAGGTAATTGAGGAGAGTTCAAGGAAGGGGCTACTGACAGAGGTGTGGGCGGCATCAGAGGAACCCACAGGGGCTGGCGAAGCACACAGGTCTAGCCTGAAAGTACCAGGGGAGGGGAAGGTGTAACCAGAACCCGGTGAAAGTTCAAGTGTGAACAGCGGTCTCCAGTCCCCACGGGAGCAGGGAGAGAAATAGCCGAGCCCACTCACTCTTCCTACTTCTCAGTCTCTTGCTGGGGCTTCCCGTTGGCCAGACCCAGCCAAAGGCACAGAGCAAGAAAGCCTAAGGGTGCAGCCTGTGAAAGCCAGCTTCCTGGGGCACACAGTAGATCTGGGGAGCAAGTGGAGAGTAACCAGCGCCCACATACGTTGTATGTTGGAAGATGGGTGTTATATCCCCATTTTACAGCTGGACAAACTGAGGCCCGGAGGCATGGCGCAGAGCCACACTGAGAAGCCCCGGCCCGGAAGGCCCTTCCCTCGGACAGAGACTGGGGGAAAAGGCTCAGAGCCCTGAGTGCTGTTCCTGGGAATAACGGTGCGCTCAGATGGCCGGAAATGGGAGGCCCCTTTGGGGTCCCCTGCCTCTCCCTGTCCGGCTACAGGCACTGAGTAGAGGCGCAGAGACTGCAGAGTCCTCACGCAGAGTCACCAGCAGTTAGCAGCACACGAGAGACCGGACTCGGGTCTCCCAGATCCTCGGCCTCTGGAGCCTCTCTGCTCGCTGCCAGGGGCCCTGCCAGCCAGGGCGGACTTCTTTCTGCAAGGCTTGGCAGGAGGGCGGTTGCAGCTGGACATCAGAGTGGACTTGTTCCGTGGGATGGGGTTCCCCTAGGTCTGGCTGTTGGAGGCCACGACCCTCAGGGGAAGCCCAGAGCGGCTGCTTGTTTGTTTCCATGGCTCTGTTTGTGCGAGCCCCCAAGCCCAGGCCTCGCTCACCTCCCCCAGGCAGGCCTGTGGCCCCCGCTCCCCTCCCCCTCGGCTCTGGGCCCTCTCAGAGGCCCCGTTGTTTGCGGCGTGGAGTGGAAAATCCCACCCCGGCCCTCGTGAATCATCCCAGAGTCACCCGCTCAGGCTTCAGGCCCTGGAAAGAAATGGCAGCGTTTTTCCACTGCGTGGAGAACAGGCAGGGTCTCGGATCAGGCGAGAGGGGGCAGGGGGCGCCCACCCTCGCTTGCCCACTAACAAACTAACAAAGTAAGTACTGAGCGGGGAAGGGTTAGGCCTGTGGCCGCGGCTGGGCCCGGGTTGGTAGAGGAGAGCCAGGCCAGGCCCGTGGCCGGGGGCTGGGCTGCCATGACACGGAGCCGGGCTGTGGACTGACATCACCAGGCTGGGCCGTGGGTCCCAACTGGCACTTAGAGTCTGCTCTGCAGATGTGTGGGTGAGGTCAGACTCCCAGCCTGGATGCCCCTGTTTCTGGGGCAGAAGAAATGCCAAGAGGGAGTGTCCGGGCCTCCACAGCAGCGGCCCTACCAGGGTCCCTGAGGGAGAATCTCCCTCCCTGGAGCCCTGCACGAGCCCTGCCTCGCTGGGCCTTGACCTTCTTCTCTGTGAGATGGGCATGGTCTCCTCCTTTCCTCTCCTGCCAGATAACTGGAGAAGGAAGTCACCACCACCCTGCAACTCAGGAAGTACCCCATGCTGGGAAGGTTCTGGGATGCTCATTCCACGGCTGCCCATAGAGGGGCAAGCCCTTACCCAAGTTTGCACACCTAGTCAGAATATACCCAGCCGAGATTCTCTGCGTGGAAGCTCCCAGGAGAGGAGAACAGAGCCAATGTCCCGGGCTGAGTCCCTGCTCTGCCTGTTAGCTGTGTGGCCTTGGGCAAGCATTTTGCCACCCTGGGGCTCTTTTTGGTGTCTCATCTATGAAGAGGGCTTTGCAGTGATAAGGATGCCTGAAGCAGTGCTTCACTGAGCCCCTGCATTTCCCTTTAATTCCGGGTCACCTGGAAGAACAGGGCCAAGCAGGGCCTTCTGGAAAGGGAAATCTTTGCTCTTCCTGAAAAACAGATGCCAAGGAGGGTGGTTTAAAATTCGGAGTTGGAGAGCATCCAGCAGCTCGCTTAACAGAAACAACAGCTAACTTTTTGGGCCTTAGCTGTGTGCCAGGCACCAGGATTAGCACTTTTTATAGATTATCTGTCAGCAAGGTGCCGTCATATCCTCATTTTACACTTAAGAGAATGAAGGCTTGGAGAATGGAAGTAGGGGGCCCTGAAAGCCACACAGCTCGTAAGCAGGGGTGCCTGGTGTGAACCCAGGTCCCCAGTCTTACAACGTTCTCTACTGTTCCCCTGGCGCGGGTGGCCGGGGCGGGGAGGGGGGGAGCGGTGGGCGGGGTTGTGGAGCGGAGCCTGGCCCTGAAATCCCAAACCTGCAGAACTACATAGAAGGGCTCTGGATGGAAGGAAGACAAGGAAGACGGCTGCCAATTTGGCCAGAGGTCCCGGGAGGCTCCGAGGTGTCCGGGACTTGCCTGAGGCCACGCAGCCACCCGCTCCTCCCTCCCCCCGGGGCTCTTTCCAGTGCCTCTGGGGCCTTGGTGCCCATATCTGCCTGTCTGGATCTCTCTTCTGATTTTTATTCATGGACGAGCAAGCACGTGGCGTTCACAGGCCAGAACTGTGAACCGAGCCTGCCCAGCGTGAGATCTGGATTAATTACCAGCCAAACCGTACTGGGTTTTCAACGCTGATTTTAACTCCGGGCAGGAAACCTGGAATCTCGTTGATGGTTATTTGAAACAAATGAATTCCCCAGGCCTCACACATCCTCGAAAGCCAGGCTTCCTTAGAAGGTTCTGTGTTCAGTTCTTCACATCAGGCACTCAGTTAATCCTCATTTATCCCTTCAGGGTAGACAGAGCCGTAGCTATTGAGCCCATGGTGAATGGGAGCAAGTGGAGACCTCAGGAGTCTCCAGCTAATAAGTAGCAAAACCAGGATTTGAACAAAGGTCAGCCCTCTGTTTAGTAAGTCTGCTCAGCTGCCTTCTTTCTGTGCTACAGAGTCAGGCCTTTCTCTTGTGGGAAATAGGGAGCCATTGAATGTTGTTGAGCCGCGGAGCGCCTTGGGAAGATGAACAAGGCTGTGTAGAGGAGGACAGGAGTAGAGAGAGGGTGGAGGTGGGGAGACAAATGAGGGCATGGTTGCAGGTTCGTGGGGAGCAGTGATGAAGGCTGGACCAGGCTGTGACCACTGGAATAGAGAGAACGTTTCAGTGATGATTATATGCCAGTCACCGTGTTAAATGTTCACCATCTCTCATTTCATCCCTGTGACGATCCTATGAAGAGGCTCTTATTGCCCCCATTTTATAGGCCATAGGCTGGTTAAAGAACTTGCCCAAACCCAGCTGGTAAGTAAGGGGCAGCATGAGGTTTGAACCCAAGCCTGTCTGATGCAAAAGCCTTTGCCTATACCGTTTATGCTGCACTGCCGCTCCATGGTGCAAAGAGGCTTTGTGTGACCTTGGACAAGTCCCTTCTCTGCTCTGGCTCTGCAGAGAACTTGGCTGAGCTCTGAGGTCCCTTGCTGTTTTATCTTATCAAACATTTAGCTGAACCCTAGGGGAAGAGAGAGAGAGAAATAGTTCCTCTGAGGAGACCATGGTCTAACGGGAGTGATAGGCTTCTGGGCAGATAATTCCCCAAACAATATGAAGCCTTTACAATAGAGGGAAAGAGGGGACTTGACTCAACCTGGGGGAGGGATCAGGGAAGGCTTCCTGGAAGAGGTGACAGCCTGGATAAGTTAGCTAGGCAATAAAAGACGAAAACTTCAAAGACCTAGAAACAGCAGCTGCAAAGGCCTGAAAGCCTCAAAGAGCATGAGTTCCTTAGGTAGGGACCTCAGAGGACCCCTCTTCTCAGCCGCTGGGTTTCCATGCCCAGAGCTCTGGACAGGCTTGTTGAATGACTGCTTGAACTCATTCTGTTGCCACTTCGCACTGATGCCATCTTCTTGCTTTTTTCCTCAGGGTCCCCCTGGGCTGCCTGGGCTCCCTGGACCCCCTGGTGCACGGGGGCCTCGGGTAAGTGATCACACACTGTCCTTGGGAGCTCTGGTTGGCTCTTTGGCCTGTATCCCACAACCTCCAAGTTCCAGCCTCGCTGTGTGTCCTCAGGCTGCTCCCCGTCCCACGTGAGGACCCATTTTCCATTTTGCCCATTGGAGTGTACTTAGGGCTCTTAGGGGGCACCGTGTGGACGGGCGTGGTGTGGGAGAGCAACGACCTCTTACAGGGTCTCAGTTGTTCATTGTGGGTATCACCCGTGGCAGCCTGGAGTGGAGAAGGGGTTTCTGCAGACCACGCGTCCTGAGCTGATGGGTTTCAGCATCCGTCCAGGTCAAAAGCTGGCTTGGGAGGACATGACCCTCACATCCATCTCTGCAGGCACCTCTGCAGGGCCTGGGGTGGGGATACCGACATAGGCAAGGTCGGGGGGGGAGCTCCCCATGCTGAGAGGTCTCATCAGAGGCTGGAGGATGGCTTGGCTGGGCTGCAGTGGCTGAGATGAGCTAGCCTGAGCCTTGGTGTGAAAAGCCGCTCCTATGTGTCATACCTCCTATGTCACTTAATGCTGCCTTGTTTGAGCCCCTCTCCCCTAGGACCCCCATGGGCCAGTACAATCGTTCTCCTCTTAGGGACGAGGAAACTGAGCATGTAGGAAATGGAAGAGCCCAGGATGGGAGCCCAGGCTCTTAACCATATGCTGGGACCCTTGGGGGTTTCTCTTGTTGAAAAATCTGTCCTTTTCCCAAGAGGGCTCAGACCCATGACGCCTGGCACCTGTGCCTAGGCTGAATCAGCCTTTCCCACGCTGGGTGCCTGGCAAGGCTCTGGCAGAGACAGCTGCCTGGGGCATATTTTTAGCTCTGAACCCAGCGGATGGTTCTGGTTATGCAATTACTCGAGCCCTAGTTCCCTCCAGACCTGGCCCTGTGCTCTCTGGGCCCAGGGCTCTGGAATCTGCTGTCTAAAGCAGCATTTCCTCCTGGCTCCAGAGTCTCCATGGAGCATCTACCCAGAGCTGGGGACCACAGAGGTACCTGGGATACTGCTGGCCACAGGGCCTTGCAGCCTGGGACCAGGAGGAGGCCCTCTGACTTAGCAGGCACCTTACCAATCCAAACCACTCCTCTGCACCTTCGCTCGGGCTGTTCTCTCCACCTGGCCCCGGCGACCTGGAGTGCCCTTCTTTGCAAGCTCCTCCTCCATCCCCTGCAGAGATCCAACGCCCCCACGTTTTCTGATGACTGTCCCCTTCTTGGAATTCCTGCAGCAATTTATCTGCCTTTCTGGATGGCACAGATCACTTCTGAAAAGCTCACAGAGACTGCTGAACTCTGTTGACCGAGCTACATATGCATGACTTCACCCTCCTAGTCATCCCGAGAAATAGGTTCCAATAGTGTCCCCATTTTACACGTGAGGAAAACTGAGCCTCAGAAAAGTTGTTACTTTGGACAAAGTCAACCATAGGGTAAATGTCAGAGCTAGGACTGAAGCCGGGCAGTGTGACCCCAGAGCCTATGATGGTAACGATTTATTGCACTGATTTTTCTCTCTACTCAGTCGGGCCCTTGTGGGCCAGAGGCAGGCCCTGTTTTTCTCTTTCTTACACAATGCCTCTCAGAGTGCCCTGCATATAGCAGGTGCTGGCCAAATGTTTGCTGAAGAGTTCTAGGCCGAGAGTTAACACTTCACCCCAGAAGCTGTGTGATCTTAGGTAAATCTCTTCCCTTCTCTGGGCCTCAGTTTTCCCATCTCTAAAGCACGGGGTCCTTCCAGGATTTTCCAAGGCATTTCCTTAGAAAGGTATTTCCAAGGTTCCTCCCAGCTCTGAAATTCCATGAGTGAGTGAATGGCTCTCCTGACATCCTTCTTGGGCTCTCTGTGTGCTCCCCTCCCCATCATCCTGTTTCTAGACTGGAAATTCCATAGATCATAAAATTCCAGAGATAATAGAATGTGAAGATTAGACAACCCCAGCTCCTCTCTCCACAGATGGTGGCTCTGGGGCTCAGGGAGGGGCAAGGCCTTACCTGAGGTCATCCAAAGCTCAGTGGCATGCCCCTTCCCACCTCCGCATACTCCCCCGGCCCGCGGAAGGATGTTGGGGAATCCCTGGGCCCTCCCCACACCCGGCTTTCTGGGCTGCGGCATTTATAGAATTGGTCTGCTTGGCTCCCAGTCAACTATGTGCTGCTTCGTTTCGCTGCAAGGCAGTGGCTGGAGAGGGGAGGAGAGGTGGGGGCGGGGAAGCAGGAAGAAGCCCCCACCTTCATAAACTGCAGATGGGGTAGCCGAGTGCTCCAGGCCACCATCTTTGGGGTAGCTGGGGGGCACAACTGGGGAGAAGTGGCCACTGTTGGCCTCCCACAGCCCATGCCTGGTTCTGGAGTGCTGGTCGGGGGCCCCTCCTGAAACGCCTTTACGCAACTTAGGCCCAATTCAGGCTGAGCCCTGAGGTTAGACCCCAGAAGCCTGGGCAGCGGTGAACATCTGAGGTCCTCCACGTTCCTTGGAGACCACTGGGCCCTAGTTACTCATAGGACTTTTGGGGAGAGCAAGGCTGGGGAGGGGGAGGGCTGCTCACAGCTAGTTCCAGGTCCTGACACTGCCAGGTCACATCCATATGCCAGGAGGCGGTGCTCGGGGGCATGCTTGCGAGGGCTGGAGAGCTGCTTAGTTTAGAGAGAGGGTCGCCCGTGACACCCTTATCAATTCCTCAGGCTGAGTGAGCTTCTGAACACTGTTCCTTCTCAACGTGTTCAGAGAAGGGGAGGGTCCCCGTTCAGGCGTCGAGGAAGAGGGAGGTGCCGTGGTTGGAATGTGACAGGCTGCAGCTGGAAAGTTGGCCTCCGAGAGGGAGGAAGGAAGCAAGTTCATACACAGCTAGCCAGATGAGTCAAGAGGGGCCAGGGACAAGGGCAGTGTGTCTAGAAGCCGGTGTGGTGGGGCACCACTGGGCCTCTCGAGGCGCCTCTCCCCACCCCCTCTGCCCCCAGATTATTCCTGCTAGACAGAGACTCTCGGGAATTACCTGACTCTTAGGGCTCTGTTTCTATTACTGGCTGCAAGACTCTAACCCAGGGCCCTTGCTGGAGAAAGTAGACATAACAGGTTCCAGCTGTTATATGGGATTCAGATATGACCTGGGAAAATCCAGTGCCATGAATAAGCCTTAGACCTGAAGCCAACAGGCCTGGGTCCCAGCCCTGGCTCGGCCATCGCTCTGCTGTGTGACTTGGCCAAGACTCTTTGACTCTCTGGGCCCGGTCTTCCTAGCTGCTCCAAGGCCCCCAGAGGACCCGTAAGCTCAGAGCGTGTAGGAATCTAAGGGAGAGCTCTCTGGCTGGGCTGTGGCTCCGGAGGGATGCACCTTTGCTCGGGAAATGCCACATACTCCCTTCACTGAGTTCTCTACTCCAAAGGCTCACACGACAGCACGGTTGGAGCCGAAAGGGAGCAGTTCGTTTAGGCAGAAGTCCTAGAAGATCCCCGGGAGGAAGTAGCATTTGAGCCAGGCCTTGAAGGACGGGGTAGGTGTCAGCTGGGGATGGATGGGAAACACATGCCAGTTGATGGGAACAGCACAGGCAAACGTGATGAGGCATGGGGGAGGGAAGCAAATAGAGAAATGGGTTTTGAGCCCCGGAAGCCAGCCTGGGAAGGGCTGCGGGGCCAGGTGGAGAGAAGGGGGAGGCGGCAAAACTCCGAGGTTGAGGGCTTGAGCTCTGAAGCCGGACATCTGAGGTTGAGCTCTGGCCCTGCCTCTTAGTGGCTGAGTGACCTGAGAAAGTTCTAAACCTCTCTGAGCACCGTCTTCAAAATAGGAATAATGATAGCTTCTACCTCGCAGGTTAGTAGAGTAAAACAAGGTGATGCGTGGAAGGTGTTTAGTGCAGGGGCAGGCACTGAGGGGGCCCTCCCTAAGAGTAGACCGCCATGATAGTCCGCTGAGGCTTGGCTCGGCGAGAAGACCCAGAAGGGTAGGGGGAATGTGCCGGGCATTGCTGTGGGAGGTGCGTGACACCCATTTTCGTCTCACTTCTTTGTTTCTTTCCCCTTTCAGGGTCCTCCTGGGCCTTATGGAAACCCAGGCCTCCCCGGCCCTCCTGGAGCCAAAGTGAGTGTTTGCAGTGGGGTCTGCAGGTCGGGCCAGGGAGTGGGTGCTGGGGTTGGGGCCACGTTTGGGGTGCTTCTTAGGGGCTCCTGGTGGAAGGGCCTCGGTGCCACAGGCAGTCCCGGAGCACCTCCCAAGTGCCGGGATGGTGACACAGTGGGGACTTGGGAATAGAGCTTCTGGCTGGGGGCGGGGGGCTAGGGAGAAGAGGACAGCTGCCACCTACAGTCCTCAAAGGAGAGCAGGAAGAAGGGTCATTTGCTGCTTAATAGGGCGGACCCGGAATGTTGGACTAGGGATATAAGTTTTATGGGTCGTAAGACTTACCCTGTCCGTCTTTCAAGCTGGGGAGGGACATGGTCGTGTTTGAGGACGATCAGTGTCATATGGACGTTGACTGGAGGAGGGGACCAGAGCAGAGGCAGGGAGACCTGGGGTGGTACAGGGGAGGGATGAGGCTAGCCGAGCCAGCCTAGGGATGTGTGAGGAGGGGAAGCGGCTGCAGTCACGATGTGGGGGGCAGGTAGAGACGACGGGGCCATAGGCGACAGAGAAGAGACCAGTGACTCCCAGGGGGTAACCCGGGGGACCAGACCCGGGAACCCAATGAGGTTGTCATTTGGGACCCTGGAGCCCCACCAGGTGGAGAGCATTTGTGGACAGACATTTTGAAACTCTGCAGAAGGCTGAGCCGGAGATAGAGCCTTGGGGGGGGGGGGAGGGGTGCGGTGGCCACCTCCCCCAGGGAACCTTTCTGGAATGCTCCAGTCCACTTTAAGATGAGCCCGCAGAGACCAGAGTGACCGGTACTCTGATGCCGGCTGGGAACCGCAGCCCTGCAGCTCCTCGGTCAATTCCTGCAGCTGCGGCAGTGAACAGGGCTGTCCGGGGCTGTGCTTGGAGTGAGCAGCCTGAGCACCAGAAGGTGTGCCAGGACAGCAACATTTAGGTCATGGGGAGAAGTCTCCAGGAGTGGCCGGAGACACAGGAGGAGGGGAAGGAAATTGCAAGGTCAGGGAAGCCAAGAACGCAGAGACCGTGTGGAAAGAGTGTGAAGCAGGCTGGAAAGGCAGAGGGGCTCCCGGTCAGGACAGAGCCCGGCCCAGCCTGCCCTCCTCGGGTCACGAGGGTGGCCAGGCCCAAGGTGATACTTTGCTAAGCCTGTCGTGCAGGTCGGGTGGCTTAAAGAAAGTTGTTATTGTCAGCAATAATCACCATATATTGGACCTTACGGTGGGCGCTATGCATGCACTTTATGTAACTTGTCTTCATTGGATCTCCACAAAGACCTAAGGAGATGGGTGGAGATACCGTACCCATTTACAGATGGGGAAACCAAGGCTCAGGCACCTTAAGCCAGTGTCTGGGAAATGGTAGCAGGTACCTGCTCCAGTGGGCTGGGCAGAACGAGGCAGCTCCCGTGGAGACTTCTGCTTTGCACAGGGCTCAGGTCTCCCAGGCCATGGGCTACATCGCGATGTCGAGGACCCACAGCTGTTCCAAATCACCGGGTCTGCTCAGGAACACGCTTTTCTTGGTCTGGCTGGGACCATCCGGTCCTCCCCACTCCCTCCAGCTTCCAGATTGATCCCTGGCTTCTATGGGAGCAGAGGCTCCTTCTCCGGCCCATGCTGACCCCACACTGCAGGGCCTCAGCCCCAGGCCCACGGCAGCCCTGGTCTGGCCTGCAGCCCACTCCCTCTCATCCAGCCGATAGGTGTGCTGAGGCAGGTGGGGGCCCCTCGGCTGCTTCTCCCTCCATTTTGAGAAGCAGCCCTGGGTGTGGTGAGTGAGGCTCGTATCTAGCAGGTGACTCTGCCTCCTGCTACATAGAGCTGGGATGAATGGACTCAGGGTCTCCTGGACAGGATTCCAGCCTGCTTCTGCACGTAACAACTAAGGGTGTGGGTTCCAGAAAATACACTGGAATAAGAGGCTGCTTCTTCCATGAGTGCTTGCATAAAACTCCAAGGGGGAGTCATGCCCTTTGCCTGCTACCTGGCCTGGAGCCCAGGGGTGAGCAGAGGTGGCCCCAGGACAGGCCAGTTGGGTGGGAGCCCCCAGTTCGCTGGGCTTGGATCCCGGGCTGCGCTTGATCTGTGGTGTGGCCAGGACAAGGTTAGAGCGGAGGCCCTCCCTGGATGGAATTCCTGACTCAGCTGAAGACAATGCTACGGATCTGCACCAAGGGTGTGATTCTGGGGAGAGGGTCCTCACTGTGTCCCAGATCCCCCTTGGGCCTGGGAGGTGACCTGATGGGATTGTAGGGCCGGCCTCCTGCAGGCCCTGGGCCGGCTCCTCCTCTTCCATATGATGTTGGCTTCTAGAGCCGCCCCTGGGGCCACCCATCCATTCGTCTTCCTTCAGTCAACAAACGTTTATTGAGCACCTACTATGTGCTCAATAATTGATAGAAAAATCAGGAAGGTCTGCCCACGTGACAGGGAGCCTCCACTTTGTCTGGATGGGTCACTGTGCATACATTGTTTCAGTGGGTTGATGGGGCCCTCAGGAGCTTATGGTCTTGTAGGATGAAGACTGAGGGGTGGGAGAGTCAGGTGGATTGAGCAGAATCAAGAAAGGGAAGAAGAGCAAAGGAAGGACTTCATGCCTCTTGAGGTCACAAAGGGCCAAGGTGACTTTCCCGAGTTACTGGCAATGACCAGCAGGGACAGGACTATATTTTGGATCCTTGGGTTTGCCCGCTGGAAGACACTTGTCAGGGCCGCTGCAAGCCAGAGCCAAGGTTCAGCCCAACCCGCCTGCCCTAGGCCCCAAGGCTTATCCATGTGCCCATATACCCATATACCGCAGGCTCAAATCTACCAAGAAGATGGAAGGTCAACCCCCACATGGAGTCGAGATCAAGGGCTTTGGGAATGAGGCAGAGAAGCCAGCACCCTGGGAGGATGGCATTGGCTGACGTTTAGAGGCCCAGTGTTGAGTCATTGGATTGATTCGTGGAGCCAACCAACCCACAGTTGTTGCTGCAGGGAAGGGCAGTGATTAAGAGCACAGACTCTGGAGCCAGATGATCGAAGTTCACATCCCAGCTCTGTCCTCTCCTAGTTCTGTGACTCTGGGTACATCATTTCTGCTTCCCGTGCCTCAGTTTCCTCCTCTAGCAAATGGATGATAAGAGTAGCTGCCCCCTTGAGTTGTCATGAGGAGTAACTGAGTCACTTAGAGCAGTGCTGGCCTGTGGCAATGCTACGGGAGGGTCAGCTGTCAGCACGTGCAAGGTGTTGGGCCAATGTTGGGGCAACAGCAAGTACAGTCCCTGCCCTTGCGGAAACAAGCTAATCACACTGGTAAATGCAGAATTATGCCATGATCAGGGTTCCACATGAGAAGCACGGGCTGCTCCGATGCCTAGCCCAGTGGGGATTGGTCTGGTCTGGGAGGGGAGGTGTGCCTTTCCGGAGGGCAGACGGGCTGAACTAAGGTCTGAGGTGCAGCGGGTGACAAGACACAGAGGCAGGGGGTGGCTGGGGAGGGTAGCAGGCCTGGTAGGCGGTGGTAAGACTTTTGGACTTTGGCCAAGGAGCGATAGGAATCCGTGAGCAGGGTTTTGGCAGAGGTGACATGATCAGATGAGGTCTGTAAAGGCCACTCAGGCAGCCTGAGAAGCAGGGCTGAGAAGCCGGTGGGGAGGTCTGGAGCTGGGGATGCTGATGGGCCGTGGTGCAGTCAGGTGGGATGCAGGGCCGGGGGCAGGTGAGGGGCTCTGGGACAAAAGCAGGTGGGGCTCCAGCCATGAAGAAAACTAGAGCTGTCCATGCCAGAGGCTCAGGCCCCCGGCCCACTCTTCCGGGTACGTGGTCGCTCCATCCCTCGTGTGGATTACCTGGGATTATGATGGGCCCTCGGGCGCTGGGGGAGGAGAGGCGGGCAGGAAGGAGCAGACCTGGTGACCCAGGCAGCTGCTGGTGGAGCTGGCGGGAACCGGGGTGGAAGCAACCCTACAGCGTTCTCAGGCCCCAGCTCCCGCCTTTCCCCCTTCCTCTGATGATGGAGTGGGGCATGCTCAGTAAGGAAAATGTGGAACAGTCTAGAAAGTATGGAGAAGAAAGTAAGCTCCCTGCAATGGCCCTGCCCAGTGATAAGCGCTGAGTTCATTTTGAGGACTGGGCCAGGGACTGGCCGAGAGCTTCACATACTTTGTAGGGCACGTGTTATTACCCCCGTTTTCCAGATGAAAAAACTAAGGTCCAAGTGGCTAAGTAACTTGCCCAGAGTCACATTTCTGAAAAGTGGCAGAGACAGGATTTGGACCCTCTACTGCCTAAGTCCAAAGCCTGCATGTACTTTTAGCTACGAGGCAATTTTGCTCCACAGCTAGCTCTGTGTCCTTCCTTTGTGGATTAACGTATATTATGTGTGTTAACATATACATATATAACACATACATTTTTTATTTACTTTATTTTTTAATGTTTATTTATTTTTGAGAGAGAGAGGGAGACAGAGCGTGAGAGGGGTAGGAGCAGAGAGAGAGGGAGACACAGAATCTGAATCAGGCTCCAGGCTCTGAGCTGTCAGCACAGAACCCGACTCAGGGCTCAAACTCATGAACTGTGAGATCGTGACCTGAGCTGAAGTCGGACGCTTAATTGACTAAGCCACCCAGGAGCCCCACATGTATAACATATACTAATCAAACTGCATACATACATACACAAAGATATAGATGTACATACACATGCATGCACACATACATATAGGTGAATAATTTAAAATATGCCCTGTACCCAAGAGCTTTATGTGTTCCACTGTTATTTTGCTAGCAATTGCCTTCTAGAAAGATTGAACCAATTCATGCTGCTGCTAGCATCAGAGGAGGGTATTTTAAAAAGATAATTTATTCTTGTTTTCTCTTCACTTCATTGATCATTGAGAAGAATGTGTTTCTTACATCTGTTTTCCATTTGTATTTTATCATTTACAAAGTGGTTTATCTGGAGGGTTGGGATGCTGTCCTTTGTTATGGATTTGTAAAATTATTTCTATTTACATACTAAGATTAGGAAGGCTTCATCTACCTTACAAATATTTTCCAGTTTGGCTGCTTGCCTCTTCAGAGTATTCATGATGATATTCACGAAGAAAAGTTTTATCTATTTTTTTTGGACCGACGATCACAGCTCACACTTACTAGGAACTTATGTCAGATAGTTGGAGAGGGTTCCACCCATATATAAAATTTATTGTTCTTTATTTAAAAAAATTTTTTTAAATGTTTATTTATTTCTGAGACAGAGAGAGAGCATGAGTCAGGGAGGGGCAGAGAGAGAGGGAGACACAGAATCAGAAGCAGGCTCCAGGCTCTGAGCTGTCAGCACAGAGCCTGACACGGGGCTCGAACTCACAGACGGCGAGATCACGACCTGAGCCGAAGTCGGATGCTCAACCGACTGAGCCACCCAGGCGCCCCGTATTGTTCTTTACTTTTATACGCAGACATTTCTTTCCTACCACATGATCAGATAGGTATTCATTTATATTCCTAGTCATTTCATGGTATCATTTGTATCTTTAAAAAATTTTTAAACCATCTGGTATTAATCTTCATGGGGGGCTGGTATGAGGTGGAGTTGTAACTTTATTTCCCCCCCCAATATTAACCATTTATTAAGGAACCTTGACTCTACTGATTATTATATGACAGACCAGGGTCTATCCCTGGCCATTCAAGTATGTGTCATTGCTCTGCTTGTATATGTTTTGGTTAAATACTATTTTATGTGACATATACAATCTTTACTCTATGTGCCTTCCTCCCTGTCTCCCCGTTCTTTGAAAATATTTCTGGCTATTTATTCTGTCAGATGAACTTTATGCTCATCTTAATCATTTTCTTAAAAAACACCCTGGGGGTTTTATTGGAATTGCATTAAATGTGTCTGTTAATTTGTGAGGAATTGACATCTTTAAAATATCATGTTTTCCTGTCTAAAACCATGACATGCCGTCTCATTTGGTTGCATTTTTTAACCATCTCTTAATAAACTATTATCGCTTTTATTGCATAAGACCTGCACAGCTCTGGTTTATGCGTAGAAATTCTGTATTTTTGTTGCTGCTATGAATGAAATATTTTCCCCATTCTATTTTCTAGCTGGCTGTCAGCTTTTGAATAGGACTGTTGACTTTTGTATTTTTGTCCTTTTTGTGTTTATTTTATAACCATGCCCTGTACTGAATAATCTTATTGATTTTAATAGTATTTCTGTTGGTTCTCCTGGATTTTTTAGACAGGCACTCATACCATTTGCAAAAAAGGGACATACTTTTGTCTCCTTTTCCTCAAAGGCGAGTTGTCTCATTTGTTTTTCTTGCCCTATTGCGTTGGCCTGAACTTCTAAATGCATGATGCCCACGTTATTTTTAGAGGAAGCCAGTCTGAGCCAACCCTAGCCCTAGAGTTGTCTCTTGGGATTCTAATCACTCATGTGCTCATTTGTGAAATATTTTATGATGCCTCCTCTGGGCCAGGCCCTGTGCTGGGTACTTGGATTAGAGATGACTTACATGGGGCATTTCTGGCCCAGAATTTCCCAGTCCTTCGTGATGTGTCCCTTCTTTGTGTCAGCCCCTCTCTAGACCTCAGCCACTCAGAGCCCTCTGTTCTCTCTACTTCCCAACCCTACCTGCAGAAAAGGAGCTCAACATAGTTACCACCCCCACTATATTTGTAGCATTTATGGGTGAGGATATACCTTTCCATCTGTCTTCTAGTTCTCAGAGGCTCTGTTAACTAGTCCAGATGGAGTACTATTCCCCACACAGAATGGGAAAGGGGCTTGCCCAAGGTCACACAGGCTCGTTGGCTGGAGAGCTGGGTTGGCAACAAGGCTCTCATCCTCACCAATGGGTAAGCAATTAATTAGACTTTATAGATTCCTTCTATTTCTCACTGGGGAATCTCCATGAGTCTGGCTGGGAAGCCATAGTCTTCTCCATCCCATAAGTCACACATGCAACTGACTAGGGATGCCTCGAGCATCCCTGCAGCTAAAACTTCATCTGTCTCCCTCCTTGTCTCCCTCCAGCCTGAGCTTAGCTGGAACTCCCTTTAGGAATTTCCTGTCAGTCTGGGTCAAGTTCTCCCTGACTTCCTCCTGTACTCCACTTAGCACTGGGTGGTAGTGTTTTCATCTGCAGTGAAGTGAAATGTAAAGAGCTTGGGCTCAAGAACCAGACTGCCTGAGTCTAAATCCCATCTACAAATTGTCTGACTTTGGACAAGTCACTTATCCTCTGTGCCTTAGTTTCCTCATCTGTGAAATGGGGATGGTGATTGTTGCTACCTCACAGATTTATGTGTCCGGGGCTCAGAAGAGCACCCAGAAAATGCTAGTGCCTGTAATGATAACAGGCACTCTTTATCATTACTCGTCTCTGGTTTCTCCCTCGAGAGTCCCCCATGGACATGAACTGGGTCTTGTTCCCCACTGCGGTTTTCCCTGTCTTTACCCCAAGACTTGGCTCAGAGTAGGTGTTCAGTATGTATCTATATTTGTAGCTATTGTACTGGGGCAAGGATTATGTCCCAAGCGCTGCGCTAGCTGCTCATGATGCAGAGAGAAATCTATAAAATGGCCCCGGTGAGGAACCCGGACGAGGGAGCAGGTCTGTCACCTCGTGGGGTCTCAGTTCCGCCTTTTATGAAGTGACAGAACAGGATACACGAAGACCCACCCCTGGCTGCATTTCAAGCCCAGCTCCTCTCCCAGCTACAGACTGAGGTGGGCAAGGGCGGGGTGGGGGAAGCTGCCGTCCTTTTTTGGCCATTGGAATCCTTGGTAGCCCTGAGCCTGGCCTTGCACTTGCACCATGGACATAAAAGGCATCGGAGCAGGGCTCGTGAGGAGCCAAGGCTGGGAGACTGTGTGTGAGGGGTGGCCCGTGTGGGGTGGGGGGTCCCGGAGGGTGGGCTCTGTAGAAGTGACCTGCAGGGACCCAGGTGGGCAGAGAGCTGGCGTTCCAACGGGAGGGGCCAGTCTCCCGCCTGGGGCAGCTGCCATTTGGTCAGAGGGAGTGCGGGAGAGTCATCCGAGCTTCTTATCCGAGTAAGTGAGTGCTTTGAAGTCAGACAGACCGGGCGCTAGCTGAACCTGGGAAGACCTCGCCTCTTACCTGTGTGTCACTGCAGGCTGTGACCCAGCCCCTCCGAACCTGTGTCTCGATCCTGAATTACAGCAAGTGGGTGTTAAGAGGTCTAATGGACACAGTACCGGGCACGGAGTAGGTGTGCTGTGAATGACCTTCTCTTCCCTCTCTAAGGCTCTGTCCAGTTCAAATGTGGCAATGTCTTGTGGAGAGTGGCTGAGTCAGGATTTGGAAGGGCTGAGTTCTGATGAAGAAAGGAGCCAAGTGGGAATTAATTAAAGTTGGCCAAACCACCCCTCCCATGTGTCACATCCATTATCTCACTGGCTCCTTGCCAGGAAACCTAGGACGCTGGTGGATATGTGTGTGTGTGTGCGTGTGTGTGAGCACCTGTGCGCGAGAGAGTGTGTATGCACATGCCTGTGCACGGAAGCGTGCACGTATGTGCGTGCACCCATGTGCATGTCTGAGTGCACGTCCATGTGCCCTCCCGCACATGTGTGTCTGTGTCTGTGTGTGCGTGTGTCTTGGGAAGCCCCCGTTTTAAGGCTCAGAGCAGTGAAGTGACTTGCCCAAGGGGCCTCTGGGATTCCGTGCCTTCGCCCCAGGACTTCTGACTCAGGGCCCAGCCTGGGGAGGGAGCGTGGGAGTGAGCGTGAGGGACAGGGATCAGGGGTTCTTGGAAGGTGACATCAGGGTGGACCAACTCTCCAAAGGACTGTTTTCTGAGTAATTTAGCCATGTTGGGCCAAAGGAGCAGGCTGGCAGCCAGGAGCCCTGTAGGAGATGCAGCTGGAGAACTCCACGGGCCCTTTCCCTCAGCCCCAGGCTCTTGGGAGCCAGGATCCTCACGATGGGGACGCTTCCGTATGCTAGACATAAAGGGTGCTTGTCTCTGACCGGGCACCCTCTGCTCACTGGCCTCTCCCCAGTTTACCGTCTTTTCTAACTCATCAGGTTCCAGGACATCCCAGAACACAGACCTGGGAATGACGACTTCAGGGGTCTTAGCTCCACCAGTGCCTCATCTTGGGGCCTCAGACAGTCCCTTTCCTTCTCCTAGTCTCAGTTTCCCCAAATGTATCGGGGAGTGACAGCGCTTCCCTCGCCCGCTTCCTCAGGCTATTGTGAGGATCTCATGAGATGAGGGCTTTGCAAACGGTAGAGGGCAATGCACAGATGTAAGTGGGTGTTACTTCACTGACCCTCGGTAATTAGAGAATAGCGAGGTGAGTGTACTGGAAATTCAAGGAGAATCGGTCATGCGTCTTAGATGTGTCTCTCAGAAGCGGTCTGAGAGCTCAGGGGAGCAAGCCCGGAGGCGGTCTTAGCAATACACACATGCAAGGACTCGGCACCCAGAGATCTACCAGTTGGTTGGGGAGGACACGTTCAGGCTGCGTCTTGAAGAATGTCTATGGCTTGGTGAATGAGGGTTGAGGACTGGCTTTCTAGGTGGGGGTAACTGCCTGAGCAATGACCGGGCAGCGGGGAAGCACAGGGCATGGCTGAGGGTGGGCTGTGGTCTGGCGAGGAGAAGAGGGACCCTGTCTGTGGGTTTGGCTGCTGGAAAGAGAGCCAGGTCTGCAGAGGAGGGGTGGGACCAGATGACAGAAGATGATGTGGGACACACAAGGAGGAGTTTGGATGTGTCATCGTGCAGTCAGTAGGGAGCTACGGAAGGTGTTAGCACAGGGAGGAATCGAACTGGAGAAGACCCCACTGGAGGTGTGTGAGCCGCGGTGGGGGGACGGATGGGAGGGCATTTTAGTAGGAGGCAAGGCTTTGAGCAGCGCTTGTGGGGAGCTGGCCTCTCTAGATGACTTGGTGGCCAAAGTGGAATTGTTTTTGTTTCAGGGACAGAAAGGGGACCCAGGGCTCTCACCAGGAAAGGCCCACGATGGGGCAAAGGTAGGTTTCCAGGGACCCCAGCATTGAGGGAAGCGGGGGAGAGGACAGTAGGGAAACTGCCACGCCCTGGCAGAGACCGCCGTGTGACAGAGGCAGGGGTGGGAAGTGGCGAGGGAAGAGTGTGGTTTGGTGTTTGCGTTGAAGTCCTTCAGCTGTCCCCATGCCAAACCCAAGGTCTTTCCCTGCACCTTCTTTGGGGCTGCAGCCAATAAAGCCAACAAAAGATTTGGCCTATGGACAAACCCTTGATGAGTGACCTTTTGTGTAATGCCCTGCATTTCTGCGGGGCCCTCCAGGTGACCCTTGGCATCCAGAAGCTTCTTGGGAGCATACAGCCAGGAAGCTTCCAACAGACATTCAGAATCCCCTCTGAGGTTAATTCGGGTGGACAGGTCTGTGGATTTCTAGGAGGTGGGCCAGAGATTCAGGGCTCCCTAGCTCTGAGGGGCCATGAGACCAGAGTTTCTCGGGGAAGAGAGAACACTTAGGCCAGAGGACTTCATCTATCCCTGAAGCACTCCCCTCCATAAACTGATTAAGGAGCTTGAAGGAGCACAGGACAGGTAGGAACAGGGGAACCCAGACTTTAAGGACCCCCCGCACTCAGACATACGTATCTTGGAAGGAACACGCGAGTCTGTCTGGCTTCCTTCTGGACACAGCCCAGGAGCCCTCCTGATGGACAGAACACTGCTTCTCAACCCAGCCCCCTGTGCTCGGCCACACAGAAGAGGCAGCTCCCTTTGATTTCTCCAAGAGAACAGTGGCTCATTCCTTCACACCCTCCCTGATAATTGTTTCATTCAGCAAACATTTACTAGGTACAGACATCCACATCCACGCCCATTTGCTCCTCATTGAAACCTTGTCATACAGAACCGATGGGCCCAGCTTGCAGATGAGAAAACAGAGGCCTCAGAGGCCTTTGCTGGAGGTCACACAGCTGGTCAGGTGCAGAGCAGGATTTGTAGCCGGGTCTGACAAAGTCCAGGGGCCCGGGCTTCTCTCTTGCTCCTGGGTTGTCTGTTCTCTGGTCTCATGGCAGAAGTGCCCCCTACTGGGTGACTACCTTGCCCAGCATGGATGAGGAATGGGCAGAAGGGAAGGTGTCTCAGGAATGCAGAGAGGGCAGATCGGAACGGGACAGACAAGTTGTGTGTCCCCTGGGGCAGTGGTTTTCAAACACGGTTTTAGCAGCACGCCTTTCCCTAAATGCTAGCTTGTGCCAAAGTCCAGTGTATGAAGTAGGTCAAGTGGAGTGACTGGGTTGGTGGGGAGGGGCTGGGGATCTGCCCACTCGGCCGCCCTCACGCCCCTCAGAGGCCTCTGGGCCTCCAGGAATCCTGTTTGCAGACAGCTGGCCATACGAGGGCACACCTGCAATTTCACGAGGGTCTCTGCTGTCGTCCCCTGCCTCACCCCTTTGTCTGTGTTTTGCAGGGCGACGTGGGCTTGCCTGGGCTCTCTGGGAATCCAGGACCTCTTGGACGAAAGGTACACCTTGGTTTGAACGCTTTGCTTTGTCCAGTGGGTTTTCTCTCTAGCTTCCCAGCTTCTCAGCTTCTCTCATCTTCCGGGACTGACAATGCTAGTGCCTATTCCAGGAAGTCCTCCTGGAGCCCCAGCCTGTAGGCCAGGAGCCTCCACTCTGCTCCAGGACCCTTGGTCCATCTTAGTTATTTTTCGCCTCTCCAAGTCTAGCCTCACCGACCAGGGTGTAGGAATCTGGTTTGTCACTCTCCCTGATGAGCCGAGCACAGGGCCTGCGCGTAGTAGGTGTTCAGGAAACGGGGGTGGTGGGGGTGGATGATGTAGGTCAAGGGTCCACTACTGTTTGCAAGATCGCTGATGGGGTTTCCAGTAGGCACATCGGCCTATAGCCGTGTCTTCAGCTTCCGCCCTGGCTCCCAGCTGTGGCTGCAGCCACCCTCTCTCTGGGCCATCTGGTTCTCACCTGGACAGACGTGGTATCTCCTGGCTCCGTCTTGTCCTTGCTCTGAGGGTCCCTGTGGCACAGGGGGACTTGGAGTATCACGTCCCCTGCATCCCCTTCACCCTCCGCGGCCAGAGCAGGCCACGCCATAAATCTGAAGAGGCCAGACCCAGCCAGGAGTCTGTGGCTGTCTGTGAGCTGGGGAAACATGGTATTTTCTGGCTCAGAGAACACAGAGGGACTCCCTCTCCCCACTCGCTTCCCCTCCATGCTCCAGTACTTTCTGATGGATGAGGTGTGAGTGGAAAAGTCTCTTTCCAGCACCGGCTCATAAAGCAGCCAGTGGTGGTCTCGCTCTACGTGGGGGTGGGAGTCCTGCAGAGGTGGCAGGAGATGGGAAAAGCAGACTAGACCAGCTCCTGCCTGGGTTCCAGGGCTCCCTGCTCTCAGCAGATGTCTGAGGGGGCCCAGGGCCCCCATCCGAGTGGGACCAGCTTACCTGAGAAGGGAGAGGCGTCTTTTCTAAGCTGAGGACGAGCCTCCGTGCGGTTGGAAAACTGGCAAAGCCATTTATGCCGAGCCCCTCAGGCCCTGGCTGAGGCTGACACGCAGGAGTTTGGTCTGTGGCAGACCAGGGTCACCTGCTTGTGGAGGGAGGTGGGCAGAGCATGGGGCAGCGCGGGTCCCAAGGCAGGGACCCCTGACCAAGTGGTGGGAGCCGGGGAGGAGGACCGATGGGCTAGAATAGCACCTAGAAACGTCACTGTTGGTGAGCACTCTCTCCTCCCAGGAGCGTCTTTGGTGACAACAGCAGCCACTTCGTCTTGATCCTCTTGCGTGGCTTTCCTGCATCATCGCGAGTGGGGAGCCTTGGGGAGAGGGGACATCAGTGGGTGAAGGGTGAAGTCAGCGTTCTGTTTGCTCACCAGCACATTAAATGTGGTTGTCACCTCAGTGTGACACCAGTTATCCTATTTATTCATTTATTTAACAGCATTGGTAGAATGCTTATTCCGTGGCAGGCAGGATGCAAGGCATGGGGCGGGGGGGGGGCGCTGAACAAATAGACAAAAATCCCTGTCCTCCCCAGAGCTTGCGTCCCTGTGTGTGTGACAGGGAGACAGATAATAAAAAGAAAAACAGTAAAAATAGAAGGACAAATGGCGAATGGGCAAAAACCAGCAGGAGAAAAGGAGTTTGGGTTGGGGGGTTCCCATATTCAATAGCGTGACAAATTAGAGGGTGTGCAAAGAGGGACTGTCCTTGGTCATATTGATGTCTCACAATAGCTTCCAAGAGTTAAAGCCATATTATGCCTATTTACAGCTGAGAAAACCGAGGCTCGAATAGACATTCATTCATTCATTCATTCATTCATTCTTCCAATCAGTTAGCAAATATAGACGTAGGCACCAGGCCCCATACTGACCCTGGGAATGAACTCATCGAGGGCCTCATGGAGAATGAAGTCTATAACGGTGCTTCTCAGCCCCATTGTGCCTTAGAACCAGTGGGGGGGCTATGGACCCCACTGCACGGATTCTTGGTTCATTTGGTGTGAATGCGACCCAGGTACAATATTCCTAGCTGCAGCTGAGACCGAGGGCCACTGGTTTAATGGAAATACCTTCTAGGGTCGCTAAGCCGCAGAGCTGGGATTTGAACCCAGGTCTCTGACCTTCAAGCTCTTTCTGTCTGCACAACGCTGATTGAAATAGCTTCTCAAATAAGAGTGGGACCATCAAGTGATAAAGAACCTCCCCACCTGAGAAGGGTCATTTGCCTGCCGTCCAGCTTGCTGAAGGCCTTTGCTGGGCCAATTCCCACAGGCTGGGCAGGCCCGCAGACCAGACCAGAGAGACCCGGACGGAACCCAGCTCTGTCCCCTCTCCTGCTGTGTGAGCTTGGGCAAGTGGCCTCACGTATCTGGGCCTCAGCTGCGTCAGGGAGTGGTCGGGATTCAGGAAGAGAGGCTGGATGAAACGAGATGTCACATCTGGCATGGGGCCAGTGCTCAGTAGGCACCACACACCAATTTGTTGAATGAACAAATGATCGTGATGACCACGAAGGAAAAACACCGAGGGTCTCGCCCCTCTGGTCCCATCCATCATCTAGCCTGGTTACCAGGTAACCCCCCTCCGCTAGTCAAGAAGGCTACCAGACCCCCATTTGCACCTTGGGAGGGCGGAGTCCTGTGCCGTCCCTTGTCTGACCCTCTTGCTTTCTTCCCTTAGAGCAGCGCTTCCCAGCTGGGGTGATGTGGCCCCCCGCCCCGGAGAACAGGTAGCGATGTCTGGAGACAGTTTTGGTCATCAGAGCTGGGAGGGGGAGGCTACTAGCTTCTCACGGGTAGAAGCCAGGGAGGCTGTTGAATATCCTACGGTGCACAGGACAGCCTCACAGCCTCCACGGCAGAGACTCACAGCCCACAGTGGCCGCGGAGCCGAGGCCAAGAGCAACTCTGCGGCGTAGAAGCCCTTCTCCCGATCCGACGTGCCCTGGACCTCCCTGCCTCCCTGCCCTTGGCACACTCTCTCTTCCACACTTGTCTTCACGCCTCTGTCCCTCGACCCTGTTCTCAACCACCGTCTTCTCCAAGAGCGCCTCCCCAGCACCCCCAGGCAGAAATCACGCCTCCGCCCCCTGACCATCCAGCCCATCTTCTCAGCCCCTTTGGGACTCCGGCAGGAGACTCACTGGTGTCCTTGGCACATTGTCAGCTGGAGCAAGTGCACAGAGGACCTGTTCACCCTTGTTTCCTTGTGTGGGGCTTAGCACAGTGCCGGACACACGCATCTGCAGGCCTCGGGATCTTTCTTAACACACGGCCCCATGTAGACGTGACTCATGGCAAAATTGATACTCAGTTGAAACTTCCTCCCGGCTCCCTCTTGCAGCCGTCACCCTGCCCACGGGCCTTCCTGATGCCCCCTGACTTGGCCACTTCCATGCAGAGCCCCTGCCAAGAACCTTCTCCAGGCTCCCCTGCTGCTGGGCTGCCCTGGGCTTCTGGGGCCCCTGCCCACTGCTCTACTCCTGTTCTGCTGTCCAATCCAGTGCCTCCTTCAAGCCCGTTTACACTGCCACTCCTTTCAGTTGGCCGTCTACACTGTCCTAGCACGTGGTGCTTCTCCCTCATTCCACTTAATATCTGTTACCTTCTAGAAAGTAGGGAGTGAGGTTGTTTTGTTCGCCAGTGTATTCTTAGTGCATAACACAGGGTCATCCTTGGGGCTCAGCAAACCTTAGCTGAATGAATGAACCAGTGGATGAATGCGTAAGCCATACAGAAATTGTGTCTTTCTGCCCGACCTGTCTCAGGTACCCCCTGAGCAGACTTTGCTGTCAGATGCCTGGCTGTGTCATGAGGGACTGTGCTTTTGGACAGACCACACATTTTTGAATCTTACAACTTCTGAGCCAATACAATGCTTAATGATTTTTTTTTTTAATGTGTATTTATTTTTGAGGGACAGAGTGCGAGTGGGGGAGGGGCAGAGAGAGAAGGAGACGGAATCCGAAGCAGGCTCCGGGCTCCGAGCTGTCAGCACAGAGCCCGACGCGGGGCTTGAACCCACAAACCGTGAGATCATGACCTGGGCCGAAGTCAGATGCTAAACCGCCTGAGCCACCTAGGCACCCTAACGCAATGCTTTAAGAGGCCAGCTGGGGAAACTGAGGTTCAGAGAGGAGCAAGGACTTGGCCAGTACCGCGTAATGAGTCGCTCTGCCTCCTGGCGTGTTTCTTCCTCGCTGATCCTTTCTGTTAAATGGGGCTGTGTCTGCTGAGGCGATAGAGAAGTTTCGTGAGGAGTTTGCCAGAGTGCTAAGCAAGTATGGTGAGTTCCATTTTACTGCAGGAGAAGCTGGGACCTTGCACACACTGAGGTGGAGCCCGGAGGAATGGCTGAGGTCTAGGCACGCGTTGCTCCCCAGGACCCCCAGGCAAAAGCAGGACCCCCCGCCTCCACCCTCCCTGCCCAAAGCCCAAATAGCATCCCGGCCGACGGGGAGACTGTCTGCAGCAACAGTGAGGTGATGTCTGGTTTCTCCTTGTGCATTGTAAGCAATGATTAATCTGGCTCCCCAACCAAAATATAGACCGAGTTCTATTATAAACACGGGTCCTGTGGAGACCCGCCTGCTGGGCAGCCAGAGGCCCCTTACAGATTCCGTGGTCCCTGGAGCTCCCCCGAAGCATCTGCTCTCCCCTAGTACCAGCCACGCACCTATCGCACACGGGGAAATCACTGCCCGTGGGTCCACCTTGCGGTTACTGCCCACCCCGTAATTGCTGGGGCCCAGGAGAAGATAATGGCTTAGATTCTTCCAGGTCCTGGGGCCCTGTCATTTGAAGCTATTTGGCTGGCCCCAGCTTGGTAAACAGTGTCAAGGTACTTCCAGGGAGCATAGGAACCTCCCCCACCCTCACCCCATGCCTTGGCTGTGCTCAGTCTCTGCTGCTCTCAGCCAGACAGGAGAAACGGGTGTTCATGACATTGGTTCAAGGCGTGCGATGATTGGGACAGACCTAGGAATCGTGGCCTTTTGGACAAAGCACAGCCCAGTGGGTCTCGAGTCCTAGGGAAGAGTCTGGGCTTGGCCATAACTTGCTAAGTAACCTTGGCCAAGTCCCTTCCCCCTGGGAAGTTTCTCAGGCCTGTCCAATGACAAAGGTGGTCAAATTGATGGCTTAGGTCCCTTTCACCTCAGATATTCCAGGGTTCCATGACCGTCTTCTGTCCTAGTAATGCTGCAACGATCCATATGCTCTATCCCGGGGACGAGGGTCTGTAAGGGGGTCTTTCCTTGTGTGGCCCTGTGGCTCTTCTAGGTGGGCCTTGGGCCTCGGTAAGTATGTCTTATCCCATGACTGGGTGGTTAGGATATAGAGATTGGAGTCGCAGCCTGGCATTGCCCCTGGGAAGCTGTGTAGCCTCAGGAAAGTCTCTTTACCTCTCTGAGTCTGTTTATTCATCTGGCAAGTGTGCCTTGTAATTCTTACTTGCTAGGGGGTGATTGCAAGGAGTTGATGAACGGATGTATTTATTTAAGGCTTTAGTACCAGGCCAGGCAAAGGGCAGGTCACTGCCCACGTCCCTGAAGATCATTCATTTCCTTTTTTCTGTGTCCCGAGTAAAGGGTTTACTTGAAATCTTCTGAGATTTCACTGGTGGTCCTTCTCTGCTGAAGTGTTGCTTTCTGGCGATTTCTTTCTGGCTGCAGGGGAAGCCAAAAGAGCTGGTGATGCTCAGGAACTCCCTGGTTCCCTTTCATGGTTCTCTTGGGATCTTTGCCCCGTGATTGCATTGGCTCTTTGCAGCAACCCGAGGCCGGCTGAGAATGGCAGAGTGAGGCTCAGAGAAGGCAGTTGCCTGAGTGGAATCACACAACCTGAGCTCAAGACTCGATTCTGCTCTTCGTGAGCAGGGCTTTGCTTGCTCTTCCTCATGTGCAAGTTCCAAGTGGAGAGAGGCTAATAAAGGCGACTACATGTGTCATATTATGACACGTCCCTGCTCCAAATCCCCCTGTGAGTTCCTGCCATCCTAATGCCTTCTGCGCTCTGGCTTCTGGCCTCTTCTTAACCACCACCTTCCAGCCTCACCCCTCACCTGTTCTGCTCCAGTCACATAGATCTTGTTCTTCCTCAAACCCACCGGAGAGCATTCTTGCCTCAGGTCTTTAGCACCTGCTGTTCCCTCTGCTTGGAACACCTTTCCGCCCAGAGCTAGCTCAGCTCATTTATCTCTTCGAGCAGCCTGCCCTGCTGCCCACCTGCTGTCCCACTCTGTCCCCAACACAGCCTCTCTCTGTCGTCTGACTCTGCTCACTTTTCTTCATAGTGCTCGTCACGAGCATGGGTGCACCATTTTTAAAATTTTTATTTTTAATCATGGTAAAAACCATACCACATAAAATTTACCACCTTAACCATGTTTAATGGTGCAGTTCAGTAGTTCTAAGTACATTCACATCACGGTGGAACCCAACTCCAGACCTTTCCGTCTTGCACAACTGAAACTCTCCGCCCACGGACACAACAACTCCTTATTTGCCCCTCCTGCAGACATTATCTTTTATATTTATTTGTTTTTATATCACCTTAATTAGACCATAAACTCCATTAAGGCAAAGGATGTTGTCTTCTCACTCGCCCCATGCCTACAGTGGTACCAGTGCATGGAAGTTCAGTGTTCGTTGAATAAATGAATGAAATAGGAAGGTCATGATGGTAACAGCAGCTGGTCTTTACAGGGCCCTTGAATTCAACCCCAGACACGGTGCTGGGTACTTTCCAGACGTGTCATGTGATCCATAGGCCAACCCTTATATTTCCATTTCCAAAAGAGGAAAGCAAGGCTCAGAGAGGTGACCTCAGTGGCTCCAGCTCGTAGGGCCATCCAGTAGCGAGGCAAGATGGTTCCAGATCAACCCAAAACGAGAGATCTTAGCCACTCTGCACGTGAGCCACCGGCTGCAGCCTATGCTTCTGTTTGCTCAATGGGGGAAAGACCATGTGCCCAGGGTAGAAAACTCTCCCATGTTGCATCAACCTCATGGGCCCCAAATGAGATGTAATCATATCGCTGAGCAGTCCTGAGGTATGAGTAGGTGCAGGAGGAATGCTTGTAAACTCCCCAAACGTCTTGGATCATACCAACTCTGCTGTTTGTAATTAAGAGTCCTGCTTCCCGGGGGCTTGCGGGTGGTGCTGTGTGTGTGTGTGTGTGTGTGTGTGTGTGTAAATGCATGAACTGTACATGCCCGAGGTGGCCTCAGGTGTCAGAAGGAGCCCGCGGTGAGTGTGAACCCTCTGCTTCTTAGCAGTGGGACTCAGAGCAAGTTCTTGGGGCTTAGTTTTCTCCTCTGTAAAATGGAGATGGGAATCCCTGCCTCCCCCTGCCACGCACCTCGTCTTGCTGTCATGAGGGCCAGAGGAGGTCACGGAGGTGTAGTCTTGGGTGAACAGGAGTGCACAGAGGGGGTCCGCAGGCTTCATCTCGTTTATCACCCTCTGGGGGAGCCGTAGAACGTTGGAGTTCTCAAACACCAGAGCTAACACCCTTGGCTAAGGTCCAGAGAAGGCTAGAAACCCACCAGGGTTGCACAGCAGATGAGGGCTAGTGTCTGCACCAAGCCCTGGGCTCTCTGTGTGAGGGGGCCTAATGGAGATCTGTGTGGCTGCCCTCTCTGAAATGGAAACCCCTGCCTCGTCTTACTTTACAGCTGCTGTAAGGCGATGGAAGCTTGAAGTCTGGGGTTTCCCTTCAGAGAGCCCCTAAGTCTTAGGACATGGCTCGAGTGGTACATCCCTAGGGCCACGTGAAAGCACACACTTGTTTGATTCTTGATCTGGACACCTGGCCGTGGACCACGGGGACAGAGGGTCAGGGTTAGTACTCGCTCGTTGCCGGAGTCCTTCAGGCATTTGGGTGGCCTCTTCCTCCCCGGAATGAGAGCTGGGACCAGCGGGTTAATGTATTTTGGTTAATGTATTTGGTCGGTATGTGTGCGATCTTTTCCGATAGGGGGCTTGTGAGGAGGGGCAGGTCTTGACCCAGATCCCAGCATTACATGGTGGTTGAGCATATCCCAGACCCGAAGGTCCTAATTGGCCCACCCATCCCTTGAGAAATCTCTCCACCCTGGCTTTGGACGGGCTCACCCCTGTGCAGATTTGGAAAGGATGGTTGGGATACAGCATCGCTCCACTACACGTGCTGTATCCCAGTTCCGCTCCCAAAGCCCGCCAAAAGGGCGAACAACTCTACTGATGGCTTCTGGTCTGAGAGCCATTGGTGGCAGAGGAAACCGCAGCAACCTACCAACCTTGATGGACATATGTCCATTCGCTGGTCGCTGAACACACACTGCACCCCTGCCTGACGTCCACAGAGCAGGCAGTGCTGAAAAGGCAGGCAGGGAGGCTGGGCCTCTGCCATCCGGTCCACAGGCCCAGGGGTGCCTTCCCCGGGCTGATGTCGCTTCTTCCCCCCACAGGGACACAAGGGCTATCCTGGACCGGCGGGGCACCCTGGAGAACAGGTGAGGGCCGCGGCCTCAGCTCTGCCCTGTTTGCTCTCCACCCGCTCCAGCCCCTGCCTGCCCCTGGCCTCCTCCCCCGGCCCCGTTCCATGAGTGAGCCCCAGAGCCAGGCAGCTCTGCCTCCCATCCTGCTGGGGCCCCAACCCTACCCCACCTCTCCCCCAGCCACAGCTGCCTGAAGGGGCTGGAGTCCACGCCGGCCTGGCGTTGGCATGAGCCACTCGACTCCAGTTAGAGCCATGAATAGCTGGCCTGTTCCGGGCGATGTTAGGGGATATTATACATGTCGCCACGGGGTTTGCAGGAATTGGGGCTGTGCTGGCCCAAGTCAAACAGCAGCCCCTGCCAGCGTGGGAGAGCCAGCCAGGGCTCCTCAGAGCTTTCTCAGTCCTGGGCTGCTAGCACAGGGGGTTTTGTCCTTCTGAGCTGGTCTGACCGGTTTCACAGAGGGGTGGGCTGGGGGGGGGGGGTGCGGGTTGTGCAGCAGGCTGGTGGCTTCCCCTTCCTCCTGATTCATCTCACATTCCTGCCCTTCTCTTTGTCCATTGTAAGCCTCAGTCTCCCACAGCCCCCCAGACTCAGAGCTGGGCAAGGTCCTCTCCTTTCCTTATGTTTCTCTTCGTTCCTTTACAGGGGCAGCCAGGACCTGAGGGCAGCCCAGGGGCCAAAGGTTACCCTGGCAGGCAGGTGCAGTATATGGCTTCTGGAAGCTCGGTGGCCATGGTGGTGTGGAGATGGCCACGGGTGCCCCCCCCCCCCCCCCCCCCAGGCAGAGGGAGGCGGCAGGCTGGGGGCTGAGGAGCTGCGCCCGCCGGGTGGGCACTGAAGAAAGGGCTGTTCAGGGGGCTGGACCAAGGAACCCTCTCTTTGAAGGCAGTAGGGCACAGGTTGCTCAAAGAGAACAGAAGAAAGGCCTCTGGTGCTGTGGGGGTGGGGCTCCAGAGGCTCCTCCCACTCAGTCCCCCTCCCCCCCACCTCCGGCCACTCCCTGGGACTCTGGCGAAGAGGTGGGGGCCTCAGGGTGAAGACCGCAGGTCTAAGCCCACTCTCCTTCTACAGAGGGGGCAGCTGAGGCCCAGAGGAGACAGGATTTGCCCTGGGTTGTTGGCAGCAGGTAGGACGTTTCCATATGTCCTTGCCCCTCTGTGTTTTATGTTACAGGGGTTACCCGGACCGGTAGGAGACCCTGGCCCCAAAGGCAGCCGGGTAAGTGGGCTTTGGCAAGTGCCACTGAGGTGGGGCCCTGGGAGGTCAGTACCCGCCCCCCTAGCAGTCCTGATGGGAGGTCAGGGCTGTGGGGTCTCTACACAGTGTCTGCCAGGGGGGCTGGGGCTCTGCCCTCGCACCTGAGTGCTCTCTGGAGAGCAGAGGGCGGCAGGGCGGGCAGGTGATGGGGGATCCTTGAGCCAGGTAAACCGCTTGGCTCTCGTGCCAGGCAGACTGGGCAGCAAAGGTTCTGCTGGGTGCTCGGCCAGGGCCCGGCTGCCACAACCAGGCCCGGGCTGGCCATGCCCCCCAGCACATCCCAAGTGCTAGGTGACCTAAGTTAGGGCTACTTCGTCGCCATTAGAATCCTCAGAGGCCTCTCTCCCGCTCCCCTCCCGACTGAGGTCTGGGGAGACCACCCTCTTTTAGAGAGCAGGGGTGGCTGATGGGTGATGCTGCTCAGGCCCGGAGGCTAATGGAACATCTGCTCTCCCTCTCCTGGAGCAAACCCTGAGTAGCCAGCAGCCTCACTTTGCCCATCTCTACAATGGGAGCGACATCCGTTCCTACCTCGAGCATAGTTATGGAGATACCAGGAATTTGGAAGCAAGTACTACTAAAGAGGGGCAGCGGGTGGGGGCTCCCAAGTGGGCTGTGGACCATGGAGAGAAGGTTCTGGGTGCACTGAATGAGGGCAAATGGAGTTTGAAAGATGAAGAGATGATATGGTGGAATCCCATTGTCTACATACAAGGAAACTGGGTTCGTGGTCGGGACGTGGCGCCCCGGTTTACTCTGCATGCCTACAGCGGGGCTGGGATGGGGACCCGGTGTCCTGAGGGCTAGACTTGCTGCCTCTCAAAGAATGCTCAGCAGATGGGTCACATAACCTTTGGTCAGGCCGGGTCAGGTGTGATGTGGCCTCCACTCCTGAGCCAAAGCTATTTATGGCCACAGTCTGGACCTTAATCCGTGGGGCTGACATGTGGCTGTTAGAGCATCTGGGAGGTGGGCAAGGTCCTCGTTGTGTGATGATATCGGTGACGATGTTGATGGTGCTGGTGACAGCAGGGGCTGCGGAGGCTCCTGTCCTGGGATGCTGGGCCTCCTTTCCTTCATCCAGCTGTTCCCATGCACTGTGGCCCCAGGGGCATGCTGATGACATCTGGGGCTGCTTGCTGTTGGCCATGCTGATGGCATCTTGAGACCACATGTGGGAGAGAGCTGATCTGGCCCCAGCACCCCGCTCTCTGGGTCACAGGGTGCTGAGCAGCCTGGATCAGCCGGGGCCACTCAAGCCGCCCTCCCAACCCTGCCACCACCGGCCCCATATTTATAAAATAGAACGCAGGCTTTGGAATCCGGGCGGCTGGCTTTGAGACCTGCTGTGGCCCTCAGCAGCTGTGGGGTGCTGGGCAAGTTGCTAGACCTCTCTGAGCTCATTTTCTCATCTGTAAACCTGGGATATAGGCCCTGGTCGGCAGGATCAATAAGTGTCCCTAATTACAGTGATGGATATTTACCAGAATGCCAGGAAGGAGGCTCAGTGACCTCCTGACCTATTTGGGAAGAAGGGATGGCTGTGAGCCTGTGTGGGCTGCTCATTTGTGGGAGGCAGTGTAGCCGAGGGATTAGGAGGCCTGCCCAGGAGGAGTCAGTTGACTCGAATTCAAATACCGGTTCTATCATAGTCCAGCCGTGTGACCCTGGGTGAGTCATTTCACTTCTGGGTCTAACTGTTCACACCTTTACAGGGGGCTGACTGCTAATGCCTGCTTCCGGGGAGCGGGCGTAGTGAGGACACGGTAGATGCTTCATTGCGTGCAAAGCCCCGAGAACTGGGCCTGGCACGTAGTTTGTGCTCAGCAAATGTTAGCTTTTGTTAGCGTTATCATTAAATCATTCCACAAACATCTAGAGAGTGCAGATAATGATAGGAGCTCTGGGCTGGGTCCCCTGCCCTTGAGAAGTTCCCAAGCTAATGAGGACATGAAACATGGACACAGATAATGAAGATACATCGGAGAAAGTGGTAAATCCTATTGACTGAGGAGCAAATGAGGTGTGTGGGTGGAGGGAAGAGATGGTTTCTGGTGTGGGGCAGCAGGGGTTGCTTGCCGGAAGAGAGAGAGCATTGGAGCTGGGCTTGGAATGGATTGCTCTGCCGTCCCTGGGGTGGGCAGGGCAGGTGGAGGGCGCCTGGAATAGAGGCCAGAAGGTAGAAAATCAGGTGCGTGCCAGGGCAGTGGGCTCCCAGCTCCACTGACTACTTGTGTGGCTTCCTTGTCCGTCCACTGGGGGAGCAGACAGCCCGTGTGCGGTGTCCTTGGGTGGGTTGAATGCCGCGGCATACGTGTGCCGGGCGGGACATTGGCGTGCCGGAGTGGCAGCCGCTGGGACTGCTGGCGTTCAGGCAGCCACGGCTGGGTGTGAGCCCCGTGTCCAGGGCCATTGAGGCCTGGGAGGAGGCATCGCAGGAGCCACGGGCAGACGGCAGGGTCCCTCAGAGCGGGTGGAACCTGCTACCGCTCTAGCCTCTAACCCAGCCAAGAGCTTCCTTTCTGCAGGTCCAGGAGCCCCGGTGCGGGGCGGGCCTCCCCGCCGTGAGCGCCCGCGCCCTTCCCTGGCGTGAGGGTATGTGCCTTTGGACTACATCGTGGAAGCCAGCACCATGCAGTCCATGGGCATATACACTTGCCTCAAGGCCTGTGTCATCGAGGAGCCACGGGAGCTGCCGCTGCCACCAGCGAGGAAGAGGAGCCTGGGCGTGGGAGGGCAGTGAGGGGCTGCGGGGACGGGTCGGGCCAGCCACACCCCACCGCTCGGTCCCTCTGACCCCCTACCTGCTCTTTCCTAGGGCTACATTGGACTCCCAGGGCTCTTCGGCCTGCCGGGGTCTGATGGAGAGAGAGTGAGTATGCCTTCTCTGTTTACCTCCCACCCACCTACCCGCTCCCTCTTCTGGGAGAAGTCCTGGAGTCCCTCCTGGAGGAGGTGCCCTTGAGTTGAATAGGAGTCTGCCAGGGGGTCAAGTCAGGGCAGACACCTTCCATACATAAAGGGATGGTGTGTGCAAAGTCCGGGGAGGTATGATAACTTGGCAAGTTTAACAGTCCACACAGTCGAAGCTCTGAGCGCGAGGCCGGAGTGGTAGGAGACAGGTTGGATGGAGCACCTGGGCAAAGTTGTATGGGCGGTCAGGGCCGAGGTCAGGAAGGAGACTCGATTTTGAGAGCCTGGAGAGCTTCTGAAGGGCTTTCAGCAAACAAGAAATGGGCCCACTTTATATTTCAGACCAAGTGTCTGCAAACTGGGGCATGTGGGCCAGATCCTGCCAGCCGTCTGCTTTTATAAAGTGTTCTTGGACACGGCCATACTCCTATGGTTACCCGTCGTCTACCGTTACGTGTACTCGTGGTGCAATGGCAGAGACCCCATGGCCCGCAGGCCTCGGCACCTTCCTCCCTGTCCCTCCCAGCCTCAGCCCGTATTTGGGATCCCACTTGTAACCTCACCAACCACCAAGACCTCGGGAGGGCAGCGGGAGCACCTGCTGAATACCAGGAACGCTGGGTGTTCTCCTAGGCATCTCCCCAGCCCGGGCCCGTGCAGCCCCCAACCCCGTAGAGCGTAAGGACCATCCCTCTGACCTGCACGTAACTGGCACCTGCCGTGTGCGGCCTTGTGCACGAGGTCGTCCGCGACTTCCTCTCGTGGGTGGCTCTGGGGCCAATTTGGGGCAATGCTGGTTGTCCCCTGTGGAATTCTGCTCTGATCTCTTCCCTGTCTCTCCCCTACAGGGCCTGCCTGGCGTTCCTGGCAAGAGGGGCAAGATGGGTAGGCCGGTAAAGATTTTCCGTGTCTATTATGCAGACTCTATGGGTGAATCTGACTTCCCGTCCACCTGCAGCGTGGGCGCTCTCTGCTTCTGTCTGCCCGGCCACTGCTCTGCTTTGAGTGTGTGGGCCAGCATGTGGGGCTGTCTGGGCCTTGTGTCCCCACTGCCAGAACACTGGCCAGCTGCTGCCTGGCTGGAGCTGGGGGGTGCCATGGCTCTGGGCCCCTCCCGGATGGTGCATCTGTGTGTATGTGTGTAACCGTTGCTGTGCAGTGTGGTCCTGGGTCTGGGGGCTTCTGTTGTGTGGCTTACTAGTGTCCATGGGCCTGCTCAGACTGGGGGATCATGGCTAGACCAGTGTCTGCGCCCCTGTCAAGGGAAACCCTCAGTCTCCAGGCTGTCTTGGGGTGGCCAGTGTTACTCGTGTGCACACAAGGCCAGAGGGCGGTGGGGTGTGTGGGTAGGCTCGCAACAGGTGTGACCCCAAGAGGGGCTGGCAGTAACCTCCAGTTCACCGGCTTTGCCCAGGATTCTCCACTGTGGCAGGAAATTGTCTTCCCCTTCGTAGGGCATCTGCGGGGCAGGAAGAGAAAGCCAAGGCCCAGAGAGGTTAAGTAACTTGCCCACAGTTTCACAGTCAACAACAGAACCGGGATTCTAACAATTCCATTAGTCTCCAGGGCTTCTGATCTCAATGGTGGATCAAGACAGCTTCTCAGATTCACTGGCTGGTAGTAATGGTGTAAAAAGTGAATGCCCTAGAATCTTCACCAGATGGGCAAGACGTTAATTCCAATGATCCCCATTACTCACAAGGGTAAACTGAGGCTCCCCCGTGAGGTGGAGTGATATATCCGGTGTCCTTGCTGCCAACTAAGGGAGACCCTGGACTATAATTGAGGCATATTTCTTTCAGACTAACCTCCGTTGGCGGCTTAAGGCCCTTTGTGGCCGCCTACAGTGTAATCCCTAGACTCGGAAGCATTGTCAGCTTGGGGTCTGGGCTTCCTTCTGCTGGTGGTTGATGGAGAAGGGACTGTGGAAGAGGTTAGAACGTGACAGGTGGCTGGAAGGGGGCCAGGAGCACTCAGTGGTGCCCAGAAAGGGCACATCTGTGATCCTGGGGTTGACGTGCATGTTCATGGGCAACTTACCTGTTGTAGTATATGGATCTGGACACTCTGGGGCCAAGTGAGGTATATAAAGGGAAGCAAGATCCAGGTCCTGTCTCTAGGACTAGAGGGAAATCTCACCCTCAGACCTAGACCTCCCTGTGGCCAACAGCCCCTCTGTACCCTGAGGTCTCACACCCGACACCTGGATCTGGGCAAAGGAGTAGCACATGATGCTTCTGGCTTCAGGACAAGGACCTGGTGTCTGTGAGGGTTGGGCTGGCATCTGGATCTGCTCCTCAAGCTAGGTGACCTTGGGCAAGGAGACCAATCCATCCATCCATTCATCCATCCATCCATCCATCCATCCACCCAGTGAATATTAAGTATATACTGTGGGCCAGGCACTGTAGTTAGTGCTGAGCAGTGAGCAAGACAAAGTTCCCATTTTCATGGGCAGACAGACAGACAACAATTGAACAAGAGAATGAACAATGAAAGAATGAATGTCAGATGGTGCCTAGTGTTAAGACAGAGTAGGGTAGGGAGATGGGGGTACAGACTATTAGATAATTTGATCTAGGAATCCTTCCTTCCTGAGAAACCTGAATAAAGTGAGAATGGGAACCCTGTGGCTACCTGGGGAAGAGCTTTCCAGGTTTACGGAACAGTAGGTGCAAAGGTCCTGGGGCATTGTTGGCTCAAAGCCTCTGCACTGCAGTTTTCCCAGGTGAGAAATAGGGAAAATAGCTTCTAGCTCATGAGGTCTTTATGCTATGCTCCTCACATAGTAAATGCTTGTCACAGTGGCAGCCATTGTTCCTGTTTGGAGTTTCATGGGTGGCTGAGGCTCTCTGCACTGTGTCCCTTTGAGCCAATGGCTTTACCTCTCTGGGCCTGTTTTCCCAGAGTTTAAGTTGCAGGGTAGGGCCAGTTTACTTACTTCGATTATGTCAGCTGGGCCCTGTCCCATCACCCAGGCCTGCCTCCAGAGCCATCCATGAGGAGTTTGCTCAGGTTCTCTCCCGGGAGCCTGACAGAGGACCAGGCATTGCCACTTCCTAGATACGGAGCTCGAAGCTCAGGGGGTGAATGATGTGGCCAAGGTCTGGGGCTTTGGAGAGTCATTGCTGGGCTGGGATGCGGCAACCAGAGCCTTCCCCTCTTGCCCCAAGTGTTGCTGTCGAGTGAATGGATTCCGGAGTCCCCTGAGCACAGAGGAGGCAAGACCCTTGAAAACCCGGGCATGCTGTGGCTTCTTCTCCACCCCGCCCACCCTACGACGACAGGGACCGCCAGCAGGGCCAGGCCTCAGCTGTCCCTTCCACCTCCCCCTTTTTCCTCCTTCTAGTGGCCCCTTCTCCCTGCCACGTACCTGTTTGCTCCTTGGAGCTGAAAGCCGGGCAGCGCGTGGCCGAGAAGGCAGCACCGGGTCTGAGGTGCTCCGTGCCGTTTTCCTACGTGCGTGTGAGACAAGGCCGCTCATTCATTTCTCGGTCAACAAAACTTTATTGGACACCTACCATGCGCCAGGTGCTGGCGACAGAACATATAGTGAGAATGGTCCCCCCAAAAGCAACATTTTTTGAGGCCCTTTTACTTGGGATTCTCCCACCGGTTCTTTGAGGTTAGATGGACTGCACCCATGTTCCAGACTCGGAAACCAAGGCTCAGTCAAAGCCGTTTGCTCAGAGACCCTCTGAGGCCTCGAGCTCCCGTAACAGACAATTCAGTTCTTCTTCCTTGCTCCTCACCTTTCGCTTCCTAGGATTCCGCCCCGTCCTTCATCATGGGGGTGTTTCCTTGCACGGCAGTGTTGGGCATGGGTGGGAGGGACCCCCCCCCTCCTTCAGCAAAATAGTGCTATGGCCACACAGTCCCCCTGAGGGCCGTGAAAGGCCCCTTGGTCCCGGTCCAGCCACCATGACCGGCAAATCAGATCTGCATCAGATCTGACTTGGTACGTATGCGATAGGACTTCATGTCACAGAGTCCCTCGGGCTTTGTCTCTGCTCATGCCGGGCCTCTGAGTCTGCCATGCCCTCGGCCCATATGCTCCTTAAGTGGTCTTTAGGGCCATCCCCCTGTGCTCCTGAGCCCTTGATCTGGCTGGTGGGCTGGGGGTCGGGGGAACTCCTTCTGCAAATTTCCTCCTGTCAAAGCTTTGGGCCGAGCGATTCCTCGGTATTTATTAGCAAGAGGAAATGTCAGGAGAATGAGCCGAAGTCCCTCATGCCAGATCGCAGCTGGCCTCATTTCTGGCAGGGCCGGTGATGATTTTGCTGCAGTTCATCTCTCTCCAGCAAGCAGAACAGCAGGCTTCATGCACACGGCCTCCTCGGCATCAGGTCAGGAAGGAGGGTGCGTGGCAATCTTTTGCTGATGGGGGCCGAGAAAGAGACAGTAGAGGTCAGAGCAGACCGGAGCCACGGGCACCTTAGTGATGAGCTGGCCCAACCTCTTTGTCAGACAGACATCGCTCAGAGAGGCCAGTGAGTTGCCCGAAGTCACACAGCAAGGTGAGTGGCAGAGTCAGGATTCAACCCCAGGACCCTTGCTTGCTCTTCACCTCATACTTCTCTCTGTGCTCGCATCTTTAACTCCAGAGGAAAGCTTAGTCTAAAGCTCTCGTCTCCTCACCTCTGCTAGAATGAAAAATGCGTTGTGGTTTTTCTGAGGAGGGGTCCGGATATTAAGATGTTACAAACTCGGCTGGAGCTGAAGGGGTGTCTCCTGGGCTGTCCCGTCTGGCACAGGGACCTTCACAGCTGGGACAAGGGTCTCTCACAGGAATTAGGAAGACACTGCAAGTGAGTCCTCTTGTGGGGCAGGCACTCTGAATTCACCGTCAAGCCTGCTGGAGCGCCTGGCAAGGCCGGCCGCTGTTCATAGCATGCCTCGTGGCCTCTGGCCCGGGCCTGCAAGCCCGGTCGTATGTAGTGAGTCAGGCCGGCAGACCCCCAAGCTTACAGCTGGAAAGGCCCAAGCCTGGTTCCATCTCCTTGGCGTGTGGCTCAGGGACAACTGGGACTTGCCCAAGGCCACACGCCCATCTGGGGTGGGAAGGGCTTCTCCTGGGGTGAACTTTGGCTTCAGGGTCTTCTCAGTTCTCAGACTGTGGGGAGCAGGGAGCAAAGTGACTGAGGACTCATGTTTCCAGCTGGGGAAACTGAGGCCAAAACAGATGAAAGTTTTTAGCTGCGGTGGTGCTATGAGCTGGGGGGGGTGGGGTGGTCCCCAGGGTCCCATACTTGAGCTAGGGCCCCCTGGGGCTGTTGGTGACCCTGGAATCCTCCCTGGCGAGACCTTGACTCCCTTATCCCCTCCTTTGTTCCCTGGGGTGACCCTTCCTGGATGGGTTCCCTAGAGGATTCCAAAAGGGCAGGGTGAAAACATGCTCAGCATCGTGACCTCAAGGGGTCTAAGTCAGCACCCTTGAGGTGCACACGTGTTCTAGAAAAGACTACAGGCTGCTCAAAGTGTGGCAGGAAGGATACAGGTTAGGCTCATACAGGAATTTCCCGACTGTGAAGAATCTCCACGTTATAAAGAGGTCCCCTAGATCCTTCTGTGGGCTCTTCCGAGAGGTTATTCTGTATTCCCACTGTTGATGCAAACCCTAACTGCACGTGCTGGTGCAGTAGAGGTACGGGGACTGCATGACAGCATCTCAGCTCTTCAGGCCGGCTACGCCAGGTGAGTTGACAGAACTGACCATTTTGTAGGTCAGGGAGCTGAGCCTTCGAGACATTAGCAGGACTTCGGATCCTGGAGGCTTCAGGCTTCCCTCTGCCCCTACAGCCCACCTTCTGGAGCAGACAGTTGGGCTAGACAGTGCCTGGAGACAGGGGAGTGGCTGAGGTGGCCCTCAGAGGCCTCCTGAGACCTTGGCATCCTGCCGCGGAGGTGGTGACAAGGACCACAGCCCCTTTGTTCGCATCTATTCCTCCGAGTTGCTGTAGCTAAGGCAGAATTTGGAGTCTCACCCTGGAGCCTGATTCTGTCTCCTCCTGGGCCTTGTTCTGCTCAAAGTACAAGGCGTCCAGTTCCCCGGGGGCCCCGACCTGGGGAAGTGGAGACACCACGTGGCTGGGGCCCCGGCAGGGCGCCGAGCTCATTCCTTGGGCCTCGGGCCAGGCTGCCGCAGCCAGCAGCTCAGGCCTGCGGAGGAAGGTCCCACTGCTGGCGGGCCAGGACTGCGTGCACTCCATGCACAAGGAGGCGCGGCCAGACAGAGGAAAGCAGAGGGGGAGGGAGGTGGGGCCACACGTCCAGCTTGGCGGCCGCCTCTCTGAGATCCAGAGGGGCCGGGCCCTGGGGCAAGTGCCAGAAATGGGGCATGTCTCCAGTAGTGGAGGGGTGAGGCAGGCTCGAGGGTGATGCGCCCTTGGGCACGCTCTGGGCCTTAGTCTCCCAGTGGTGCAGTGAGGTGTGAAAGTCAAGAACGGCTAGGCTCTTTCCATCTTGGATTTGTTGAAGCACCTCTAAAGCTCCCATCTTTCTTTTCTGACCATTATGCTCTTCGTTGCCTGTCTCGATGGGCGGCTGGAGTTTGCTCTTACTGCCACTGTTATGACCCCGCCGTCATCCCCCACTGGCTGTCCTCGGGCTGCTTTTTGTCTGCAGAAGTGCTTGACTTCGGGAGTTTGACCTTTCTGATGGTCTCTCCCTTGCTTATACTCCAGAGCTGTGCCACTGCCAGCAAGGGTCACCCTCCAGGAGACACCTCAGCTTCTCCTGTTTATCATCCCCATTGTACAGCAGAGAAAACTGAGGCTTGGGGAGACCTGTGGGTGGTGGAGCCAAGACTGGCATCCGACTTCTCTGCTTCCAAAGCCTCACGGGGGAGGCTACCCGGCAACTCGGTCGGAGGGGAGTTGTCGAGCCAGCCTCAAGTGGCCTCTAAATGCAGACCCGGGAGATTGACCCCTGCCTGGTGGCTGCTGGGTGTGAATATATTCGGCATTATAGCCACGATGTGTGCCCAGGGGATGCTGTCAATGTCCTCAGGCTGGGTGGCATTCCTGTGTATAGGGGGAGAGGCTCCTTCCTTTCGGGCTTCATCTAGGGGTTGGGACAAGTGTGCTTAGAGATCACATCCCCGCAGTCTAAGCAGGACAGTGGGTCAAGTGAGGGTCTGCCCAAGGTCACACAGCCAGCCTGGACGCAAGCCAGTGCTAGTCTCCAGACACTGGGCTTGGCAAGCAGAGCATGAACTTCCCGAGGCTGCCTGTCATGGGCCGTGTGGAGTCGGCCAGGGACCTGGCTGGACAGCATTGCCCTTGTCCCCTGACGGACAGTCCTCCTCTCCTGTCAGGCCCCTAACCTCTGCCTCCAGAGGTGGAGGGAGAAACTCAATGCCTCCTGAAGGCTCCTCTTACCACAGCCCACTCAGCTGATGTCTCCTCTTCCAGGAGAGGAGAGGGATCTCCCTTACAGCATAACAAAGACGGGCTGGATTGAGGTGAGGGTAGAATTTGCCAGAGGGACCCCAAGGAGAGGAATCTTAGGTAGGATCAGATGTACCCCCACAAAGCCTTGACCTGGATGTGGGCCCGTAGACACGCACACAACCCCACCACTCTGTGAAACCAGCTGAACACACATTCGAGCACCTTCTGTGCATCGTGATCTGCCCGTGGCCAACTCCTACAAATGTAACGTGACGGAGTTCAGAGAGGGGGGACCTGGGCTCCGTTGTGCCACAAACTCGCTTTCCTTTTCTGCTTTGCCTTCACCACTTCCTCTCTGAGCCTGTTTCCCCATCTGTTAAATGGGACTGCTAACCTTTTCCTCAAGGGCAGATGTCAAAGGCAGAGGAAGTCTTGCATGTAAGGTGACTGGCTGGGCTGCAATCTCATGATTATATCCCCGTGTCCTCCTTTGGGTGTCTGAAGGAAGCCACACCTCCTGCAGGATGAATGCCAGCTCTCACCCTTCTGATCCAAGAGGGCTCCCTGACAGAGGAGGGATCTGAGGGGGCATAGGACAGCTGGACAGGGCAAGGACAAAGACGTGGATACACACGCATTTCAAGGTCTCTTTGCTTGGCTAGGACAGACGTTGTCATTGGGTTTGGGGTTTGTCCTCAGGTTTAATCTACTCACTGGATTCCCTCAGTTGTGTTAGAAGCCAGGCACAGATTACCCTCTGTGAGGAATCTTCACTGAACAGCTCAGGCATCCGTTTGGTCAGAAAAAAAAAAAAAAACATGTGCTGTGTTTTTTATTAAATTTCCCTGGAAAAACAGTGATTTGAATTCAAGCAGGGGAGAACAGGTTTCCCTAAATTCCAAGCTTGAGGACTTTCTTTTCCTTTTGAAGTAAAATGGAATTACGCACACCCCCACCCCCACCCCCGGGTCCCTAGAGGTGTCCCCACAGCTGATGTTTTTCCAGCTGCCTGTATCCCCAGAGAGTACGGAGTGGGGTCGGGGATGGGATGAGAGGGCCACTCATGCCTGGGCCAGGTGGCTTGGCCTCTCTCGGGGCTGCTGAAACTCACCTTTGGCAGGGGGGCTGACTCTCACCAACAGTGTGACCTTGTGTGACTTTGCCACTTAGCCTTCCAGAACCTCAGTTTCTTTACCTGTAAAATGGGGAAAGGATGGCTTTTGAAGAGCCTGTCACAACCACAGAAGGTCTGAGCTGGAAAATGCCAAGGAGGCCTTCCCTTCCTTCACTAGGGGGGGAACTGAGGCTCACAGGGGCAATGGATGTTCTTGAAACTCTCAGCAAGGCCTGTAGGTCCAGGCCTAGACTCAGCTTCCTGACCTCCGTTCTTGTCTCTCCTGCCTCATTGGTCCAGGTTTCAGATTTGGTCGGGGCCGGGGTGGGGGGGAGGGGCGGGGAGGGAGTACATTTTCATGCTGCAGAAACACGTAGTAGCTTCTTCCCAGGCTCTAAAGTAGATAAGAAAGTTCCCTAGCCCTGGGCCCCTCCCCATTAGCCAGTCTTTGAGTTCTTCACGTGGGGGTGTTTGTTGAAGGCACAGGGTGGCTGGAGACCCCACTGCCTGCCCAGATCCCAGAACCAATGGGTGAGAGGCTTCATGGACGCATCCTCGTGTGCCCCCAGGGGTTTGGATGAAAGCCTCTCCCCACAGGTAGAAACACTGATCTGCAGATGTTTGCTCTCTCTCCTGCCTTCAGGGGTTTCCTGGAGACTTTGGGGAAAGAGGCCCTCCTGGACTGGATGGAAACCCTGTAAGTATTTCAAGTCTTTGGGAACAGGAAAGAGATTCCAGAGCAAACACACAGCAGGTTTGAAGAATCCAAGCTTTAGGGTCAGACGGACTGGGTCGAATCCCAGCCCTGCCGCCTCTGTACCCCAGGCTCCTGTGCACTGTGGGTGCCCTGTGCCCCGCCCCCAGGAAAGCTCTCCAGGTCACGGGAGCCCCTGGTCCCAGATCCCCGGACCGTGCCCATCCCCAAGGACTTAGGAAAGTTCATGGGTCACTCCCCACTGGGGAAGCCAGGGTTACTGCCATGTTAGAAAGCATCCAAAATGTTTATGGGACAGCAGCGGCCTAGGGGAGCAGATGGTTTGCAGGCCCTGTATGGAGAGAAGAGCCAAGCTCTAAAGAAATCTCCAACGTAGGCATGTTTATAGAGTTTGTAAATAATCGGAGGCCCTCGAGGAGCTAGGTCAGCCTGCCCTGAGTTGCTGAACCCGCCTTTCCCTTCCCATCCCAGGCGCAGGCTCAGGCGGGAGAGGAGGCTCGTTCTCTGCCTGGGGGAGCAGACCAAGTCCAAAGCTCTTTGGAACACCTGCCACGTTCCCCCATCTCTCTTTGGGGCTTCCCACCTAAACAGCTGTGCCCAGCTGTGCTTTCTGTAGAGGTGGCTGCTGGATCCACCATCAGTCCCTGATCATGTACTAATTTCAATTCCACAAATGCTCCCTGAGGCTGACCCAGCCGGGGCTAACCCCTGACTCCCCACCGGGTGCTAAAGCCCTGGTCTCAGAGGGACTCGTTTGAATCCTGCTTCACCACTTGCCAGCCACAGAAGCCTGGATGCATCGGTTCATCTCTCTGAATCTCAGTTTCCCTCCCTGTAAATCTGGGGATCAGATGCCAGCGTCCGAGGGCTGTTGTCAGATTGAAATGACAGAGCGCGGGAAGGTGGATGGCCCACAGTAAGAGTTCCCTGGATGGAGCGGTTGTAAGCAGTAGGTGACAGCGGGCACATCGCCTGCCCTGGCAGAGCTTACGGCTGTCTATCCGGTCCATCATACCAGGCAGAGCAAGATGGGCAGGGTCAAGGGTCCCAGGTGCTGTGGAGGAGGGAAGACTCCTGGGGAGGTGACATGGGATTGGGATGAGGAAAGAGGTGAGGAGACATTCCACATGGAGGAAAGCTCACCAGCAAAGGCACAGAGGTGAGATATCAGAGCCTCTGCTTCAGTATATAAGTTATTGGGTCAGGCGTTATAATCTGCGATGCCATCCTGGAAGCCTCCCTGGGGAGGGACAGTGGTGTTTTTACACTCCTGGCCTGGGGGAGCAGAAAGAGGACCTGATGTGTGGTCCTGGCTTTGGCCATCCAGTTGTTGAGTGATCTTGGACAAGTCACTTCCCTTCCCTGGGCCTCGGTTCCCCCACTGTAAAGCCAAGGCTGCTTGTCCCCTCCCCTTCTTGGTGGCTGTAGTGATGACCTCCCTGTGCACAGTTGAAGTGAGACAAACACCCTGGAGGATGCTGGCAATTCTCATTGATAATCAGCATCTCTAGAACCTCCCCCCATCCCGCCCTTTTTTTTAAAGCTTATTTCTTTTGAGAGAGAGAGTGGGGGAGGGGTGGAGACAGAGGATCTCAAGCAGTCTCTCTGCTGTCAGCACGGAGCCCAATGTGGGGCTTGAACTCACAAACCCTGAGATCATGACCTGAGCCCCAAACCAAGAATTGGACGCTTAGCCAACTGAGCCACCCAGGTGCCCTAGGACCTCTTATTTTTATTCATATCTCTGCATCTTGAACTTGAACCTAACCCATCTACGTGTCTTTTCTGGGCAATTGAAGGTCCATTTTTAGAGATGAGGAAACAAACTCGCCCCTGCCACACACAGCCACATCCCCTGGCCCCTAAGCAAGAGCCCTCTGCAGCATCTCGGAGGCCCAGGGGGCAGGCACTGGAGAGTCTCCTTCCAGTGGTGGTGGCCTTCTCTAAGGGCCCCGCACCCCCTGGTTGAGAGAGACAGAGAGGCCGGCCTGGTAGCTCTCAGCTTGGAGCCCTCACCACTTGACCTTGCACCTGACCTTGGGCACGTCCCATAGCTCTTGAGACTCAGTTTCGCCCGCTATAAAGGGCAGGTGAAATGAGATCTGGGCCAGGCACCCAGCACATCTTCATTGCCACGATCAGGATTCCACCTCTTCTTTCGCACTTACAAGTGGAAAATACTGGATTTGGAAATCCGACCTCCTCATTTTACAGATGTGGAAAGCGGATGGCAGAAGGGGAAAGGGTCTTGTCCAAACTTCAGGCCAGGCTCCGAGAGTCACTAATTAGGCACAAGGAATGGTCAGCTCCAAGGGATCCATCCCACTAGGTGCCCACAGGGGGATGGTGTGGCGGGAGTGGCCTGGGGAGGGCGACAGGGCAACTAACCACTTTGGTCTCTTTCTATTTGCAGGGAGAGCTGGGCCTGCCAGGGCCCCGAGGAGTCCCCGGCCTCATTGTAAGTACACAGATGCCTGGTTGGTGGGGGCAAGAGGCAGGGTGTGGGGAGCAAGCGACAAGTCCCAATGAAAAGGTCCCTCTCTCATCAAACCCCAGGAGGAGCTGGGGGAGCAGGACATATCAGTCTGGCCAGGGGGCTGAGGGAGGAGAGCCCTGCTGTGTGTCCTCAGGTGGATCACCTACCTTCTCTGAGCCCCTTTCTTCATTAGTTAGATGAAGATAGGTGCTTGGAGCATGAGAGTGCTGATGTACTTTCACACCTGCTGCCTGTCCCTCGCTCTGCAAGGAGGTCTAGGCAGGTGAGAGCATGCTCATTCGCAGGTGAGATGCTTCCGGTCTGGAGGAAGGAAGTGGCTGGCCGAGGGGCTGAGGCTCTGGGCCATGTTGGGAGGTCTTCCTCATCCTTTTCTTCACAGCACTGACTTTGGAGCCAGAGCACCTGAGCTCAAGTCACGGCTCTGCCACATCCTGACTGTGTGACCTGGGAGATATTATTTACCTTCTTTGAGCCTTAGTTCCTCATCTGTAAAATGGGGATGATGATCGAGTACTCTTGGGGTGGTCGTGAGGATGGAATGAGGCATTACATGTACAGTCCTTGGCACAGGGTCTAGCATTTCGTAAGTGTGCAACTAGAGAAAAATATTGTTCTATTAATCGTTGCTGTTACCTCCTGAAATGCCTGGGATGGAGAGAGGCCTGAGGACAGGGACATGGGAGGCAGCCCGACCTCTGACTCCATTCAGGTCGGGGTAGGCCTTGTGGAGTGGTTCTATTAGCCCAAACCAGGGCCTCCTGCGGGGCCCTCGGAGGGTGACCTTGACCTTGGGTCTAGCTACAAGGGCCAGTGAGAGATCCCAGAAATGACTCTAGGAGCTTTCCCCATGGTCTTATGCCCCCTTTGCTCTGTCCTCGGGTCATCCCTCACGGAATCTGAGTCTGGGGGGCCATGAAGGGACATAAGTCGGCTGCTCCCTGGTTTGGCAAATGGGCTGCCGGCTTTGGCTACTCCAGCAACTGTGCCAAGAAATTCTGTTCAGAGGGAGGCTGGAGGAAGCCGTGGGGGAGTTCAGGGGCCCCATTGTTCAGGGGAGGCCGGTCCTGGCAAGAAGGCCCGGAGGTCCCCCCCGCCCCCCCGCCCTGCCCCCGGTGGCAATGTGCTCCTGCTCAGGTGGCTGAGAGCAGAACCCGGGTAGGGTAGCGGTGGGGGCAGAGGGTCCAATTAACCGGTGTCGGCATCCTAGCCTCCCCTCACCCTGCTTCTGTGGTCTTCAGCTGCGGTCTCGCTCACCTGAGCCTCAGAGACCCCCTTTATAAGATGAGCTCATGGTGCCCACTCTTGTTAGGACCACAGATCTGCACGGTCCGGTGCAGTCGGTGGCTAAGACAGCAGTTCCTGGAACCAGGTCGCCTGGGTTCGGATCCTAGCTTTACCACTTGTCTAGTTCAGATCCTGAGCAAGGTTCTTAAGCTCTTAACCTGTCTCAGTTTCTTCACTTAGAAATGGGGATAATATTAGCATCTAACTTCGAGTTTCTGTTGTGAAGATTTAAAGAAACGGGTACATATAAAGTGCTTAGCACGTAGTAAGTACTCAAGAAGTGCTAGCGATAATGATGATTATCATTTCACACACCCATGTGCATTACGGGTGGTCACAGCCCTCTGGATTGCTGCATGGAACGACATTTTGATGTCACATTGGAGCTTAGTGGGAGAGGGGGGCTGTGATTGGTTGAGCGATCGATGAGTGACGTCTCCTTGGTCCGGATAACAAAGTGTCCACACATGAGTCGTGCATTTGTCATCCCTGTCAAATGTCCATTCCGCAGGACTTGGCTGAGCGTCTTCTTTGGCACAAGGCACTGACCTAGATGCTTTGGGAAAGAAATCTCTGCAATGAGAGTTAGAGAGGACCCCCAAAGTCTTGTAGCCCAGTCTCCTCTAAGCTCACAGGAGTGCCCTCTGGAGCATCCTGGTCCCGTGGTCATTAAACTCCCAATCTGAACAGCCTGGTGTTGGACACGCTTTCCTGTGGGAGCCCAGGCCAAATCTCCAGCGTTCTAGCAGTGTGTGGTGTTCCTGCGAATGGAGCCCCACTCATTCCCCTGCCCCTGGGAGAGGCTGTTTGAGACGAAAAGATGGTTGTGATCTGTTCTTGTCGAGGCTCCTTCTTCGGGCTAAATGGTCTCAGTTCCCAAAGCTCTTTGGGAGGGATGTTTACATATCCTGGCTTCCATCACTGGCACGCCCTCCTGTTTGTCATTGTCCTGGTGTCCACTAGTTGGGCCCCGAAAGGGGCAAGGATATCATTTGGCCAAATGAATGCAGACTCTGGAGACTCAGACCATGCCCGGACTTATTACAAACCTCTTTCCCACCTATGCTCCCCTTTGCTTTCGACGGTCAGGATTGCCAGAAAAGATGCAACATGCCTGGTGAAATTTGAATTTCAGATGCAATATTTAGAACACATTTATACTAAAACGTCATTTGGTGTTTATCTGACATTTGAATTTAGCTGGGCAGTCTGTATTTTCGTTTGCTCCATCTGGCAACCCTATTCACGGTATCTCTTTGGAGAACCCCATTTGGCAGATGGGAAAGCTGAGGCCTCTGGTCAAGCTCTTTCACAAGGCAAGGGAAGATGGAAGCATGCCCGAAAGGCAAAAGGCGTGTCTTCCAAATCCTCCTCCAGGGCGTTCCTCCCCTGGGCTTGTTCCTGCATTCCTCAGGCCACGCCCCCATCGCAGGCCACGCCCCACCTCAGGACGTCTCTTTCCCAATTGCTCTTCGATGTTCCCTCTTGCCCTGTGTCTTTCTCTGCCACTTTCAGCCTCGCACCCTCTGTTTGAAAACTCCCTCTGCTGCCAAGGTGGTGATCCCTTCCTCCTTGCGGTGGGGGGAGGAGGGGGTGTCCACAGGCATGGACCTGACCCTGCTGAGTCACCACTGCTCCCGAACTAGTGCCCTCTCTCACCCAAGGACCCCCTCCCACCCTGGATTTTTGGGAACAGCATCTTCTGTGCCCTGGGGGGCGGGGGGGAGTAGTCGGGAGAGGGGGGCGGAATAATAGCCTCCCTAAAGAGTTGGAGAGGAAAGGAATTTTCTAACCAGGAGTTAGAAAGGGGAAGAGGGACCATGAGTCACCTATGGTTTTCCAGAGGATGTGGGTTTTTCGCTGAGCGAATGGGATTCCACATATTGATAATCATTTTAGTGGCGATTCAGGTTTATTCAATGTCTTCTGTCTGGTCAGCTAAAGCAATTCGCATGCAGACTGAAGCCAAAACTTCCCCCTGTCCTCTTCCCCTCCCCCCTGCCACCGGGTCCTTGCAGGAGGGAGGCAGGGCGTGAGGAGACAGGCTGACACTTATGGAGCATCTGTCTCTTCTGTGTGCTTGACACGCATCAGGCTGGGGAAGCCTTGAGGGACTTGAGGTGGGTGTCAGCAGCCTGGTCACCCAAACAGGAAGGCTGGGCCTGAGGTCACCAGCTAGGACTTGCAACCCAGGTCTGTGTGACCCGGATCCCAGTAGGTTGCCGGTTGCCCCACTGCAGTCTCTGAGGTGAGGCTGCCTCAGAACAGCCCCCTTTGAGTAACTGAAACCGTTTGGCCGGCCCTCAAGAAAAGTGTGCCTGATTCCAGAATCTGCCCAACAAAGAAGATTTCTGTCTTTTTTATTCTGAGCGACAGACAGGGAATTTTGGCTCCTCATTTAATGAGACCCAAAGAATATGCAGTCTGGCCAAAACCCAGCATGCGGGCTAGAGTGGACGGGCCCACCGTATCCTGTCACTAAATGAGCATCTAGCTTTGTTTCCTTGTTATAAAGCGAGATCGGGAGCCTCACTAGTGGACACGTACCAAACCCTTGTGTGCCAAGCCTTGTGCTAAGGATTTAATGATCACAGCAAGCCTCTGAAGGCAGGAAGTGGGATTACCATTGTCCACTTCAGGGGACCGAGGCACAGAGAGGCTGAGACACCGGCTCAGGGTCACACAGCCGAAAGCTGGACGTGGGCCTGTGTCCTAGCTCGCTGAGCATTACACACTCAGTTCTGTGTGACTTCTGTGCTGAATGGAGACAGCAGGAGTGTAAGCGTGCGGACTGGGCAGTCCCGGGGGCTGCTCTGTGTGAGAGATGGTGCTTATTAAGACCACACAGGAGTCAGGATTGGCCACAGCCCCCAGATCCCTGTCCCCAAGCTACTGACCCCTATCAGAGTTTCTAAAAAGAGGCCTTGTTACCTTCCAAGGCAGTTCCAGGACCAGGGAGGCAAGCTTTTCCCCTAGAGGTTTGTCGGTGAGAGCGTGATTAGGGTTCTTTTTCACCTAGTCCTTAACCCACTTTGAGTGAGCACCTCCTCTGAGGCAGGGGGCAGGCGATGGCCAGAGAGGCGCACACATGAATGGTCACCAGTGTGGCAAGGGCTCTGAGACCTGACACCAGGGGCCTGACCTGGCCCGTGGGGTTGGGGAAGTGGTGCTTCAGCCGAAGGATGAATGCACGTTAACAACGTGAGCGCAGGACAGAACATTCTGGGTACGGGAACCAGTGGCCAAGGGTGCTAGAAACACCCCACGTTTTCTTTCAGGCGACTCTGGCAACCCCCCACCTGGCCACCTGCGGGCATGTACTCATGCCTACTTTAAAAAAAATTTTTTTTTAGCGTTTATTTATTTTTGAGAGAGAGAGACAGAATGCAAGCGGGAGAGAGGCAGAGAAAGAGGGAGACACAGAATCTGAAGCAGGCTCCGGGCTCTGAGCTGTCAGCCCAGAGCCCGACGCAGGGCCCGGACCCATGAACCGTGAGATCATGACCTGAGCCAAAGTCGGATGCCTAACTGACTGAACCACCCAGGCGCCCCTGCCTATTTTTGAATCAAGTGTGTCCTCATTCCTCATCACTGAGTGACATCAACGAGGAAAGGCATCCTAGGGTCCTTTATTGGAGTAAAAGAGTCAGTCCAGGGCTCGTGAGCACTGAACGTGGGGCCAGACAGACAGACAGACCTGGATTCTGGTCCTGCCCGTGTCCCCTGCCTGTTGCTTCGTTTCGGGTGAGTGATTCCACCTCTCTCTAAGCCTCAGCTTTCTCATTTGTAAAATGGAACGGGCCCAACGGGGTCACCGTGAGCTGCCAGCCTGGGCCCGGCAGCGAGTCCCAGCCCGGGGCCCGGCACAGGCTCCCGCCAACAGCATCTGACGGGACCTTGAAGTCTCGAGTGTGGCATCTGGGGCACAGGAGGAGTGCTGTGAATGGTTGCTGACGTGGATGGTTGTGTTTTGATGGAAGCCAGCGAGATGAAGGGCGAACGCGTAGGGCGCCATCTGGGAGCTCAGGCAAAAGTGGGAAGAGGACCCAAACTCAGGGCATTACCCATTGTTCTTTCTCATGAGGATACGACAGGGGTGTCTGGTGCAAACCAATGCTCTGTGGGCTGGCCTAGGGAGAAAGTGGCCTGGAATTTTCTTTGCTCCTCTCCCAAGGGCGTTTAGAGCCCAGCATTGGGGTCCGGCCAACATGGGAACGGCCTGCCCTAAGCAAGGCACCCCCTTCTCCCCGTATGCCCTGCAGCCAGAGTCCCTTTTCCACGGATCCCTTGCCCCTTCGGGTTGGGCGCCTGTGCAAGTCCCTGCCCCCCCACCACACACAGGCCTTTTTGCAGGGGCCGGCAGAGGCCCGGCGTGTGGTGCTGCTGTGGCTCCCCAGGGCCCCACGCAGGTGTCAGTCAGGCTCGTATTGCATTCAGTCCCCACACAAGCCACCTTCAGGCCTGCAGCGAGAAGAAGGGGCCTGTGTTCCTGGAGCTGCCGGCTGGTCCCCTGCCCACAGTCCAGGCCCCAGTTGGAGCCAACTACGCGAGCAGAGCCGATTCTGTTTATTTGTGCACCATGGGGAACTCTAGGCGGCCACCCCTGCTCCCTTCATCCAGGAAAAGACAGGGAGAGAAGTGGCTGCCAGCACGGCCTGGGGGAAGTGCTCTGCTCTGAAGGCCTGGCTTTTCCTCGGACCCCAGCCTCTCCCCTGAGCCAGCGATCCTGGCCTTTTAGCTCCCTGCTCTCCCTCCTCTCCCAAGATGACTTCAGAATTCTCTAGAAGCTCTGGAGACGGACTGCCGGGTGTGAATCCCAGCTCTACCCAGTCCTAACCTTGCAGAGGAAACCTTAGTTTCCCCATCTGTAAAATGGGGATGGTCGTAGGGTGGATCTTCAAGGGCTGGTGTGAGGAGGAGGAGTCCTTGGGTGGAGGCCTAGCAGTCGGGGTTGTTCGTATTAGTATTGTCACCCGTGAAACTGAGACCTCCCTTCCTTCACGAGACGATATCACTTGACCGAGCTGAAAGCACTATTTCTTGGCAGAGGCTCAGGTAGAAGGTTTGGTTTGACCTACTCAGGTGGGGATCCTGAGGTCCAGAGAGGGTCAGTGTTTTGCTCAAGGTCACATAGCCAGCCCCTGGCAGGCCATGGCCAGACTCCAGCCTCTGCCTCAGCGGATCTAAACCGGTGCAAGGGTTGGGGGGGTGGGGGGGGGGGGGGGGGGGGGGGGGGGGGGGGCTCAGCTGTGCCTCAGCGGACCACACCATTCTCTGTGAACTCTGCAGGTTCCCTTGTCTCTGTCCTCGGGGTGTTCCAACTGCCCAGCCCTCCGGCCCTTCTGCGGGAGTCGGGCAAGAATGTGACAGACACATCTCCGGGAAGTCCCCACAGGAAGCCTGGGGCAGCTTTTGTTCGCTCTGGTGCTTGAGAGCACTCATGAGGGGCCTTCAAGGAGCCTGATGTGGGGATGCGGGAAAGCAAGGCCCAGAGAGGTCAAGCACATTGTGTGAGCTTGCACAGCAGATGGAAAAGGGAGAGGAGAGCCGTTTCAGGGGCTCCTTTTCTCTGGGTGTGGGCTGCATGTTATGGCCCTGGCTGGAGGCACTCATGACAGGGGTGGGCAGGTGACAACGTGTGAGGGAAAGAGGGTGGGCCTGTTCTGAGGAAATCCAGCCACACCTTCACTGTAAACCATGGTTTCTCACCTCAACACTTACGGGCATTTGGGGCCAGAACATTCTTTGCTGTGGGGCCTTCACCCACTGGATGCCAACAGAGCCTTTTCAATTGTGTCAACCCAAAACGCCTCCAGACTGTGCCAGGCACTTTGTACACGGAAGTCAGTTCTTCCTGAAACATAGTACTGACCCCTGTTTTTGATGGGGAAACTGAGGCACAGAGAGGCTAACCACCCAGAATCAAGCAATGATGAGCCAGTGGCAGAGGAGAGAGGAGATCGGGTGGCCTGACTGAGCCAGTGGGGTTGTGTCCTCAGAAGCACAGCCCAAGGGACCTTGGGAATCATCTGTCCCAGGCCAGCCCCTGGGAGCCTCCTCTCATGATGCCCTCTTCTCTTTCTCTTGTCAGGGCGACATGGGAGCACTGGGTCCGACTGGCTATCCAGGACCCAAGGGCCTGAAGGTGAACAAGAGCCATCCGTCAATCCGGGTCTCGTCCCAGCCAGGCACCCCCTGACCCATTTCAGCCCAGAAGGGAGCGTGCCTGGGCACGGTGTCGGGGGAGGGGAGGAAGGGGGCCCCGACGGGGTGGAGGCTGCAGGTCAGGAGCTCAGTGCTTCCCAGACCTGAGAGCCAGTCAGCATGTGTATGTCATTAATGGCTCACGCATTTCTCGGACACCAATCCTTGAGCTGAGCAGGAGTCTCATGTGGTTCCAGACCTCAGGGCACTGAAAGTCCAATGGGGGCATCACCAGGGGCAAAGACATTATACTGGCAGGCCAGTGAACTTAGTCTGTCCCTCAGTGGGATGGGCGTGCAGGAAAGAGATGGGCCAAAGTGGCTAGGGCCTCCTTCCAGGGACGATCCCGTTTGGCCCACATGCATGTGACAACGCTCGAGGAAGCCGTCTCCCCGCATTTAGCAGCCTTGTCCCCTGGATTTGTCCAGAGTGCCGTGCTTCACGAGTCACATGCCACTTCTCATGCTCCTTCCATCCACACCATTGGCCTTTGCACTGAGGGTCATTGTCCCCTTTCACAGATGAGAAAACTGAGTGTTGGGTGGGGCATCTAGCACTGGGTAGAGGCAGCAAGGGGGGAGGCAGTGGGGGGATGTCCATCCGGGTCAAAGGCAGGGCTCTTCCTTGGCTTTGAGCCCCACCCCTCACAGCTGGACTGGTCTTTGTCTTCCAGGGACTGATGGGGAACATGGGGGAGCCTGGACTGAAAGGTGATAAGGTGATCTGAATACTCCCTTGTTGCACTGTGTTTTATCTGCATGCCAACTCCCCCCACCCCCTCGCTGCGGCTGGCTTCTTACCAGGTCCACCCCCCACCCCCGCACTCCTGCCTCCCCTCTGGCTCCCCTAAATCTGTGCTCCCCAGCTTCTTCCTTGTAACTCAGGTGGAGCTCAGGCAGGTGGTTTGGGGCATGGAGACCCTGGAAGGGGGCGTGGGGGCTGTGAAGGCATAGGTCGGGGTCAGGTAAGGCGGGTCTCTGAATTAGGACAGCAAAGCTGAGGCCAGCATCTGGGCTTGGAGGCCAAAGCCAGGGAAGGCAGACGGTGGGGTGGAGGGTGGAGGGGGAGTATTATTGCTGAGATGACAGGCCCCAGGGCAGGTATGGTGTGAGGTCCAGAGGCCTCTCCCAGCCACAGGAGGAAATGAACCCACATAAACCACCCCAGTTAGAACCGGGCACCCGACCCCAGAGAGCACGGGCTTTCAAAGTACAGCAGAAAAGCGGGGACGGGCCTCTGAGCCCCTGACCCGCTTTCTTCCCAGTTGCCATGGGGAGGCCACTCCTGCCACATGTCCTCCCCGCACAGTCCTGCTGCCAAACTCACCCTGTGCCAGACCACGGTTGGAGGCGGGTAGGTGGGACCCCGGGGCCCAGGCACGCGGCATCTGAGGCACAGAGACAAGGAGCACTTGGGGCAGTGTCTCATGCACTCTGCCCTCTGGCCGTCCTCCTGCCCTGTCCTCTCAGCCTTTCAGCAAAACAGGCACCCCAGAGGGGGTGTGGGAGGGCTTTCGGGCCCTATCCAAGCTTCCACAAGTGTGAGTAGATGACAGCCGCTCCCGTGGCCGGGCTCCCTCTGCACCTGTCTTCAGATAACGCCACTCCCCGTACACCTGAGAGGCAGCAGCAGAAGTCCGTGCTGGGCCGTCTGCCTGCTCTGCGGGGATGGACCCCCGGCTTCCGAGCCTCGGTGAGTTAGGAAGCCTGCCTGAGCACACGCAGCTCGTAGTAACGTCAGGATTCGAACCCAGGCACGTGCCTCCAGAGACCTCCACCACGAAGCAGAACTGAGGGCAGAAGGGGAGAGCTGATGAGGCCCTTGGAGGTCACCTCCTCCAGCTCCTCCGAGTCTGTGCTGGGCAAACAGCCCCAGAGAATTAGAAGAAATGCAGTAAAGGAAACTCAGCCCTGGGACTTAGAAAATGCAAAACTCTGGGCAGAAATGGACACACCCAGACTGTCCTACCCACCCCAGCCCTAGGTAGCCAGGGGGTGCAGTGCTCACCCCAGGCCTCTCTCCATCTGTCTCCACCTCTTCCATCCCCTGCAGTCCCACCCAAGCCCCTGGCTGTAGTCCCGTCCCCCACCCCCGACCTCAGCTCCACCTCTGCCCTGCTGGCTGCTAAGCCCCCTCTTCTGTGACCTTCCCCTTGAGATGGAGGGGCTTTCTGTTGGAGGCAGGGGCTTCCCCACGGCTACCTGTTTACTCTGGGGTTTGAGACACCAGTACTCTGGAAATGTTGAAGTCATGGATAAGGGAGAAAGGAGGCAGGGGGAGCGAGGGTGTAAGCACTGAGCTTTTTATAGGCCCTTCTGCAGACCTGGCCTCCAGCTCACTGTTCCTCCAGGAACATGGAAATAAACGTGTTACATGGAACTCGGCTGGCTTGCTGACTGCTGGTGCCTGGGACATTTCGGGATGTGAAAGCTCTGGAAAAAAAAGAAAGAAAGAAAAGAAGTGGAAGAAATTGTTTTCCTGCCCATAGTTAAAAAAAAAAAAAAATTAAATACGACCTTGGGGTTGACAAAAAGAAAAAAGAGCTCTCTTTGTTGCCCCTTTAGCTGGGGAGGGATTTTAATGTGGCTGAGAGAGAGGTTCCGATCAGCCCCCTTCCCCCACCCCCCAGGGATGACGGGGCCATCCCTTCATGCTCCCCAGTCATGCTGCCTAGAATCCCAGATTTTCCATGACCCGGCCTGGCCTCGGTCCCACTTACAACCATTTGGCTCTGTCTTCCTGCGTGGAGGCACGTTCTGGAACCAAGACTCCCGCTCCAGCCCCAGCTTTCTCTGAATCCATTGTCCTGGTTTCTTAGGTGTCTTTTTAAACATTTTTTTTTTTAAACCCCTCTGCTCCTCTTTTAGATATTAAAACAAAACAAAACAAAACAAAACACAAAAAAAAAACTTCCTTGGCTTTCAAACCTCGGGGATATTTTACAGGGTTTTCCAAACTGGAAAAACCAAAGTAAGTGGTTTTTTTAAAGATTTTTTTTTTCTTTCTTTCTTTCTTTCTTTTCTTTTTTTCCTTCTTTCTTTTTTTTTTTTTTTA